AAATTAAACATACCATAGGACATATATAGAAACTCTAAATATATATACATATAATCCATATACAGTATACATGTATATGTTTATATATATACATATATATAAACATTATGTATATATATGTTTATATATGTATATATACACATATATATACATATATAAACATATATACATATATATAAACATTACAACAGTATGTATAATTTCGGTGACAAGTTTCTTCAGTTTTTTTATTTGTCTTTTTTTGGTGTTTTTATTTTACGACTGCTTGTGGAATTTTCATTATTTTTTTTATTTTTTTTTTCAAACTCCTCACTTTTAAATTACAAGAATTAAAATTAAAAAAATTAACCAGAGTTTTCCAAGGACCTGACGTGACCCAAACGTCGGCACCAAACAGGCTCGGAACACCACAAGTCTAGTTCGTTTGGTCCATCGCGTAAACATTGTTGTTCGTGGTATGACCATATTTTTATCCACATTTATTATATATTCACATATATATATTTATATGTAAATATATATATTAAATGTTGTCTACATGTAGAATCCACATTTCTTTTGGATTCTGTATGTGTGGATTCTACATGTAGACAACATTTAGAATGCACATTTAGGATATATTTAGAATTTGCCAAAGTATACTGTATCCACTTGGATGTACTACTGAGGTGCCACAAAGTAGTACTTTGTAGTTACTGAAGTCACTCAACATGTATTTTCAGTTTAAAGAACTCTACAACCCCCTTAGGCATTACACGTCCCCCGGTACTAATCCCATGAGCTGTGAACAGAACAAGAGTGTGTTCAGACACACACACACACACACACACACACACACCATCTTTCACTTTCCATGCACTCGGGAGCTCTGCATATAGATGCATATCTTAAATATGACCAAACCCTGTGATAATAATCTACCCCTCCACTCCCACCCCACCAACACACACACACACACACACACAGTTCTCTGATGTGTCTGTGTCACTTAAAAGCAACCTGCACTCAGGCAGGAAACTGAAATGCAGGACGAGAGCAGAGATGTTTTTTTTTTTTTTCATTTTCTGTCAGAGTAAAGAAAGAGCTGGTGCAGGTGGTGACCTCCACAGTCGCTCACGTATGTCGTTATTATCTCTGTGTAATTTCTCCGCGGCAGATTCCTATCTCCTTATCAGTGTGCGGCTGGTGGAGCGGAGTCCTGTATCAAACAGTGACCTGGGGCCCAAATTGCATCAATCATCGTCTGGAGCGGAGCGGTACTTTGAGTTTCCTCAAATTGGCGGAATGACGGATCTACTTCCATTTGGTTACCTCAGATTTCAGGCTTTGATGGGGAACTGTGAGAAACACGGCGCAGTGGCCTTTTACACTGCGCCGATGTGGAATTATTTGTATTAGTTATTAAAATGTGATTGCACCGTACTTGATTTTCCTCTCCAGACAGCATTCAGCCTGAAGTACTGGTTTCTGGCAATCTCTTATCTTTTCCATGTGCCGTCAGGCACCGGTTGAAACCAGTGTGGAATGAAACCAAAAGCACCTTACAGAACCCCTGTGGTATGTTGATCAACTGACCAGTCTCAGGACATCATATCATACGTCTGTGATCAGCAGCATTACTGTTCCACTTACAAGTAGAGGTTGTACGTTTGTCTGGGTCCGTTGCCCTAGAAGCTCCCACACCGCTACCCCACCCCCACCCCCACTCCCTAACCTTCCTATAGACAGCAGCCGCTGATAACATCTATATGCCACAGGTTACTATCAACATCCCTGTCATTATTGATCAAACAGTGGTTGCTAACTTGCGGGTCCTGGACTGATGGCTGAATGTAGGTCATATTGTACAGGGCCCCAAAATGCCGCTACTCTCATATATACGTATGTCACCGATTAATGGCAACATCCCTGTTATTATAAATCAAACCAGAGGTTCTTAACTAGTGGGTTCCGGACTGATAACAGGCCACAGGCGCTTGAGCCAAGGCCTGAAAAATCTGTTTTTTACATGTGTTGGACTATGGCAGTACTTCTCAAATAGGGGGGCGGGACCCCCTGAGGGGGTGCGGTGAGGTGCCAGGGGAGCGTCAGGGGCTTCCAATGAAATGTGGCACGCAGGGAATACGTGTACCACTGCTGTAATACTAACAATCCTCCAGTCACTAGGTGGCAGCAACTCATACAGTGGTTTGTACAGATAGAAATATACATGTTAGGTTCTCAATAGTATTTCAATTTGAAGAGGTATGGGTGGGTGGGTGGGGGGGGGGGGCGTGAAAACACCTTGTCCACAAGGGGGGGCATGATAGAAAATAAATGAGAACCACTGCTTTATGAAAATATTTTATGTAAGAATGGTAGTAGTATTTTTTTCAAACCAATATATGCAAGAGTATTTTTATTGATGTACACTCCAATACCAGTACTATCATCAATACTTCTTTAAGTAAATATGCCAAGAACTGAAAGACAGTGTTACACTACAGTATAGGTGAGCCTATTTTAGCCTATTAGCCTATTTTGCTATATTATGCTAGTTATTTTTATTTAAGGTGTTACTATTTAGAAAACCATAAAGGCTTATATTTAGCTTTTTTTCTAATTTTGCATTATATTTTCTTATATTTTTATAACTATTATATTTGTATAATACTACTATACTACTATATTTGTAGGCAGCTTTTGCCTGTTTGGAATTTTTTTGACAGAACTGCTAGCAACATTTGGCTATATTTGTTACGGTTCACTGAGTAACAACTGCGTTAGTTTATTGTACATCTGTGACTTTGGCTTTGAAATCAGAGACTAGACAATAGGTAAGCATGTTAGGGCCAGCGTTTAAAAAGATTACATCTGTAACTTTTTCTTGCAGTAATTTAGCTCACATTAGCTGCCAGGTAGCTTGTACTTCATCAACAGAATTTTTTTCTCTTTCATCCCAGTCCAGTGAAACAGCACTGTTTGATTTTTATATTCAAACATGTGACTGTAAGAACATTGAACTAGTTGTTGTATCGAAGGAATCGAAATTGAAGACACACATGGTTTTTCACAAACAACAAGGCCAGTAATGAAACTTGTTGATGTCCAAATGATTTACCTCTGTTAGTCAAATATGCCAGCCAGGGCAGGCCATTGGCATAGGCAATATAGGTGGTCGCCTAGAGTGCCATCTGCTGGAGGTGTGCCGACAGTCACAGTGGGGGAAGGATTCATCTTGCCTTGGACACTAACTTGGGTTAAAGCTTGGGTTAAACTCCTGATGCCAGGAGTCTGTGATCTGTGGCTCCTGAACATCTTGCAGCTCATTAGCATCTTTGGATTTGCTAATTTGTAAGATTATATTTGACTGATGCATCAAATCAACCAGTATTATAAGTAGAGAGTGGGTAGAAAAGGGTTGTAACTATCTGCAAATATAGTATGACATCATTAAGTTACTCTTAATGATGTCATACTATAATTTCTACTTACTTGCTAACAGCAAATTGACATTATGTCACTGTATCTTCTATTGTAATTCACGCTCAGGTGTGCAATTTTGACTTCACTGTCACTGTCGGTGACTGTAGTAAATGCTGTAGTAAATAATGAATGCTGTTATGTTTAGATTGATCATTTCCTGCATGTAGCAGTGAAATCTTGTGTTATTTTCTGTGGTGCCACAGATTAAACAACTGTATATTGTATTATTTATTTATTTTTTTGTAGTATAACTTGTTGTATATTTGTTGTTTAACTGTAGTAGTTTAAAATCCACTTCTAATAATAAAATAGTCAAGATGTCTTTAGTGAATTTTATCTGGTTAAAAATGTCTCTCTGGGTGCTGAATGTTGTAGATTCATGATTTATACTAGGGTTTATTTACTGGCACTGTTTACGCCTGTTTACAGCTAAAAGATTTCAGACTTCCCTGCTGTAGAACTAAAACTTTGTATGATTCTATTACTTCTTTTGTGAGCTCGTGTTTGTTTGTGTGTTTTTCTGCCAACATGAATACCAGTGCACCCTGCCAGCAGCTGAATTATAGCAGGAAACAATCACTCCAGGAACAAAATGACAACCAGGATTTTCATCTTCAAGCCATTTGAAGTTTTTTTTCTTTCCATTCTACACAGCCACAAAAGCAGCTTATATGCGGAGATTTTATGTTTTAAATGTTTTACATTAGCCATGGCTGTCAGATTTGTGCAATATTATGATTTTGCTGCATCCCTTAGCATTAGACTGTGTCCATGGCTATTCCTTGCAAACTGAAGAGATCATTCTCTGTTTACGTTGTCTTTGTGTCACTCTGATTTAAGTGTGAATTTCATGTTCACTTTCACTTTTCACCATTGATAAATTGATACTCCAAAGTCTGTCCAGCTCTCCCTCCACCAAAGATGACCCTCAGCTCTACCACGACTTAGTCCTCGGCGTGGTCACATGATCACTTGTGACAGAGGTCATCCGCGGTCAAGTGGGGTCATGAGTAGTATCCTGACATCCTACCAGCCTAATCACCTGTTTATTTATTTAACGACTCAACTCTGATCCACTTTGACTGAAGGGGACAGAGAGTTAGAGGACAGAGAAAAAGAGAAAGTCTGGAGAAGGGGTTGATTAAAGTTCAGTTTCATCCTGACTGATCTGCTTAAGGACGTGTGTCTCTTATTTGGCTGTTTTTTGTGGTCCACTGCTGTGAATATATTAGGCCTTTTTTATTTTTAATGGGTAACCTTGTCATCAGGACAAATTGTCCATTTCAAATGTGTTCTCATCTTCTTGTTTTTATTATGAATAATAAAAACAACAACAACAACAACAACAACAATAATAATAATAATAATAATAATAATAATAATAATGTAGCTGCTACAAAATTAATTAAAAAAGAAAATTGAATTTAGCTCAAGATCTCTTTTATCTTATACATTAAAATGTCATGTATACTATCTACTTAGAACGGCCTGTTACTGCCATCTGGTGGTAAATTTCTGCAACCCATTTGTTGTGCTGCATTGTACTTGCATTTACCGGTCTTCTCCACGCAATGGTGCTACAACCGTAGAGTCTGGACACATCTCTTCGACGCCGGTGGATTTTATCTGACTACAGTACTCGCCACGTGTGAAGTAAGAATAATATCTGGATTAAATAAATGCTCTTCAATTGAAATACAATGCCAAAGTATGTCAAAAAAAAAAGTGTTGTCAGTTGTTTGTTAAAGTGGTGCTGCACCATTGACGCCATTGACTTTAAACTACGGTAATTTAGCAGCGGCCATGTTTCTTTCATTTAGAACATTCGTTGTAGGAGCTACAGTAAAAGGGGTTCGAATTATAATAATATCTAGGAAATTGTACTTTTGTGTCGTATGTATGGTTGTTTTCCTGCTTTCTTTCAAATTTCACCGTTTAAATTATCGTATATATTGTCTATAAAAGTTTGGTCACGTGACAGTGTCACTAAAGCTTTATTTGTACCTTTAGCATGTAGCTTAAGTATGAAGAACATTTAGAGCCGGTTCGACAGACAGGGCTAAGATTAAGGCAGGACCTTAATCGATATGAGTTAAACTATGACATCTAGGCAGCTTTCACAAACGTGGCTTAAATTTTAAGATTTAAGATGTCAGGCATTTTAGTCTGGGACTAGGCTACTAACTAGGCTACTGTTTTAGACTGACTTGGTGTTTAATATGCTAAACCATTGTCATGTTTTTTTTTAGTAACACATTTCTTTAAAATGTAGTTTAAGATTAAGACGTGTTTTTTAATCAAAATGCTAAACCATTGTCATGTTTTTTTTTTAGTAACACAACATCACTTTCTTTAAAATGTAGTTTAAGATTAATACGTGTTTTTTAATCAATATCTCTATACAACCGTGGTATTTCTAAACTTGTCAGCAGAGGGCAGTAACTAAATAGATAGATAGGTATGTTTGTTTGACTAGTATTATCACAGCATTTAATAGTCAACTAACACATTTATAATAAAATGTTTTGTTTTTCTTACATGTTCTGTACACCATTGTTGTAGAACATCAATATTTGCTATCTTTATCACTTGCAAAAAGTACATTTAAAGATCATTCTTCTTCATCTGATCTGTTTAAAATTAACCAGTGGCTTTCCTCTGCCTGAATGAGATGTTGAATATTTTATTTCCACAGAAGGTAGAGGTCAGGTTTCTTGAAGATGACAAACAGTTCTACGTACCTGCAGGCTGGTTGGAGGCTGACGTGTGCGCACATAAGAAGGTGCATCACCAGAGTTCAAAAGGACAAACATGCAACAGTGAATAAGGTCAGCTGCATTAAATGATTCATGGTCACTGTGTAAGAAAAACCCATTAAAGAGAAGCACGATGGATTATTACATAATCTTAGCTTTTTTTCTTGCATTTTTATATCCATTGAAATTCAAACTTTTCATATACGCTTTTTTACCTATTTGCCTTTGGGGAAAAGTGCAGAGAACAACTCCAGTCCCTACATGAAAGGAAGAAAGCAAATTTGTTCTGCACACAGCAACTGGTCAAACCAAAACCCACCTTGAATAGTGAGTTAGAAAAACAATTGTACTTTTTCAGTGTACAGTTAGTCCTCTCCTATTGCTGTTGTTGCGTTCTAAGACCCACCACAAAAAGGGAAAATCTGCGAAGTAGAGGCGAGATAGTTTTTATATTATTTATGTATATATTTACCCTTTACTAACCTCCGCCACACTATTATCACCCCTGCCGTTCCTGTAATACCCTTTCTGACACAATTATATGGACAGTAGAGTTGTAGAATGGAAATATAAGACATACATATTACATAAACAAATTAAACTAACTGACTTACTGTACTTTCAACAGACCAGCTGAAACGGGTGCTGTCAGTACTCTTTTACTGTGAAGCTTGTTACTGCCCTTAATGTTTGAAGCACTCTCAGGTTTTAGGACTTGTCATAAGTCACATTTAGAAATGAGTCTGATTTTGGAAGAAATGTGATGACAAAATACATATATACATAATAAAATATATATATATATGGTGGATAGTTGTGAACAAGTGCCTTCTTTCAAATACATTTTCAATGACAACACTGTTCACTGCATTCACTGTTATACCTTTGGCTGTAGCAGACACACCTCCGGATGACTTTAAGCCCCGCCCATTTCTCATACACCTGTATATAATTTCACCCGTGGCACCAGAACAGTCAGAGTCTCCTGCACATCACGAGTCCCAATCATCTCAACTCCATCTGAAGAATTTATCTGGTAAGAATAATATTTTCATATATACAGTATATATACTAACATACATCATGGAGACAATTGTACCTTTGAAAATAAATAGGGATATTAGTTTTAAATGACCTTTGTATTTTGACATATTGTAATTTTGGTTAAATGATTGTAATCTGATGAAGTCAAATGTCAAAATAAATTATAATTCAAAAACAAATTATCTTAACAGAATAGTTCAACCTTTTCTGGTTTATACCCAAAATTATTGGATGTTTCTCAGATAAGGAATTCCTTCAAACCATAAACACACTCAAAGGTATAAATTCAAAACTGAATTTGAGCAGAACAAGAGTCCATTCTCTTCCATCTGGAATCTGCTTTGAATATTTCCCCCCTCCATCATTTTCCAAAGCTCTATCTGTCATCTGAACAACGACTGTCTTTCTCCTGCTCGCTCCTTTGTAGTGTTGTGGGAACCATGTTGCAAGGATCGGGTGTCAGAGCGACTGAGAGGTTCCCTTGACCGCTAATCTGCCACTGCAATCCTGCACAGAAACACAGACGCACAACTATTTCAACACACACACACACACACAAAGATGTGTTTGACAAGTAAACACGGCTGGGCCGACCAGCGCTACTCTTAATGTAATGAGGTTTAAAAATAGTGCATGAAGATGGAGTAAATAATATAATACAGATACTGGTAAACAAGCCTGTGAGTGCTCTCTAGAGCCTGTCATTGTGAAAATAATGAACATGTAAATTTCCAGTGGTACAGGAGTAGCAGATACTGGTACACAAGCCTAGAGTGCCCTCTAGTGGCTGTCAGTGTGAAAATAACAAACGTGAAATAATATATTTTAATATATAAGTACACACCTGAGTATAAGTCGCAAACCCACGCAGGAGATGAAAAAAAGTGTGACTTATAGTACGACAGTTCCATTGTATAAATACTAAAACTCTATAGTAGGATAACTGAGCTGCATCTTTCAGAAATAAAAATGTCTTTGTTCAGAATTATCTTGCATTATATTGTATTTATATATATATATATATACAGTAAATCACAAGTACTAGTGGTATCAGTATTGGTGAGGACTCATTCCTGGTCTGAAAAAAAGTGGTATTGGACATCCCTATATATTATATATAATCAGTGATGTAGGTCATTATTTGTTTTAGTCTGAAAAGATGTCACAGAAAATACTTTTTTTAATGTTCGTTGATAAACAAGCCGTTCATAAACAAAACATATATACTTTTTTTTTTTTTTTTTTAATAAAATGGGAATTTCATGTTTTGAAAACCTCTGGTTAGAAAACCCTTCAGAGAACATCGCTGCCACGTCCCCTGTGTTCTCTGGTTAGAAAACCCTTCAGAGAACATTGCTGCCACGTCCCCTGTGTTTGCTTTAGTGTGGGCTTTACCATGATGCCATGTTAAATATGGTCCTAATGGTGTCATCATGGTAACAGGTTCCACGAGAGCATCCTGCCGTCTTTCCACCCAAGGTTGAGCTGCACTCATTTCAATTTTGATTTCTTCGCAGATTCTGAAGTTGAAGCTGCATTTTACCCGAGCACAGAGCGAGACAGTGAAGTGGCTCTGGCTATAAAGTCAGACGTCTCCTCTTCCATGCAGATACTTAGTAGAAATGGCCACCACTACAGCTGTGTACTTGTTTGAAGGCTCCGTTCCAGTGGGCGCTCAGCCGTGTGGAATATTAGGCCTTCTTGTGTTTCCATTAACATCCAGGCAAATGGCAGTATGGAGTAAAACACATTTGCTGAAGGGCCACATGAGGGGGTTTTCTGAGTGCAGACCTCGTGAAATTCTAGATTTAAATGACTGCGATAGGTCAAACTGTCGCTCTTTATGTGTTTTCCTTTTGACATCTGTAATTTAAACATCTATCCACACTCCCCTCAGAAAAATGGAACCACAAGGGTTATAATAGACTCACCATCTGCATTTCCACTCTTGCATGGTTTCTCTCTACATGCCCTTGCCTCCATTTAGTTTTTCCAAGTTCTCCAGCACACCGCAGCTAATATTCCATGCGTCTCTGCCTCTGCTTTCTTTATATCCAGCTCCTGCAACCACACCATCATGACCTCCAGCATGTCCATGAGGAGCTTCTCCATGAACCGACAGCCATCCTTTTCCAGCCGTTCTCTGATGGACACAGGCCGCGCTCGTTCACGTGCGTCGGTGTCTTTCGCAGCGACCAGCCCTCTGACCCGCTCAGCTTCTATCAGCCAGGATCTGAACGGGCCAATTGGTCTTCAAATTAATGGGCTGCATGGCAACAGCACTAATGAGAAGGAAGCCATGCAGAGTCTCAACAGCCGTCTGGCCAACTACCTGGACAAGGTAGACAATACTTCACTGTGTGCTTTCTGGTCCACAGCCAAAGTGGTGATGGCTGATGTCTGAGTTTGGCTGAGAAGGACACGACACTATTAGAAACAAGTTGAAACACTTTGATCACTGACATCCTTCTGATTCCTTTTTTCTTTTTTGCCTCCTGCAGGTGCGCACGCTGGAGCGCTCCAACGCAGACCTGGAGATGAAGATCAAGCAGGTGATGCTGGACCGCATCCCCAAAGGTCATGACGTGGACTCAATGATGGCCCAAGCCCATGCTGTGGAGCAGGAGGTCTGATAAGATAATAAGATCTTATTATCTTAGAGTTTCCATATCATGTCATTCAATCCAGTCAAGGTTGGGCTGAATTTGGCTTATTTTGCATAGACAAACCATGCAAATGTCTCCAGTGTCTGTACGGGCTGAAATGTGACCAAACTTTAACCCAATTGTTCACTTCGAAGAATATTTATCTAATTATTTAGCCTGCCAGTGAAGATAAATGTGTCTAAATCTTTATTTTCTTATCATGTGTGATTACAAAACTCTTATATGAAACATCTGTTACACCACATATATTAAACCCAAGGCCTGGAGACCGAATCTGGCCCAACAGAACTTAACATCCATTGGTTGTTTAAAAAACTGTGTTCACTAATTTATGATTTTTTTAATTTATTTTTTGTCAGGTGAGGAAGAAGACTCTGGAGAACGCCCGTCTCATGCTGGAGATAGATAATGCCAAACTGGCCGCTGATGACTTCAGAATCAAGTGAGCATTTACACTGGACTGAAACAGTCTGGAGTTTTGTTCATGTTTTTAAAGAGTCAGCTTTCTGTTTGCCTGGAGAGCTGCTGTTTGTGACATTTAACAAGTTAGTTATTAATCAGTAAAAATTAAATTTTACCTATAAGCTATGAAATAAAAGAGCCATCTGTTTTATAACGAACGCCAATACACATGCATTTTAACATTTTAAAATATATTTACTGTATATTTTAGCTCAGTGCATTTTTTTTAATAAATTGGTAAATGCAAATAAATGCAAGGTCACACTGTTTGTTCCTACTGTTTATGCACATAACTTATTTGGAATTCTGATGATCAGATAAGCAAATACTAATTTAGCTAGGATTAGTCTACATCAAATGAATAGAAGAGTTGTCCTTCAGTTCATGCAAAAATGGAGAATGAATGTACAAAAATGGCTACAGAAAGATGTGCAACAATTTCTAAATAACAGGGTGAAAAGACAAATGTATATCTAGAAGTTCTCAAAGAAAGTGTTGGAGCAGTTACCATGATTTTCTTTCATTATCTTACTCAGTATGAAATAAAGACTAAGTATTCTGTAAAGATGCACCGATATTCCTGCATCTCCTGCCGTTTATTCACAATCCAGGTACCAAGACGGAGCCCTGGGCTGTACACTTGACACCCCACCTCTCATATAAACTTAGATCTGGTGAAAGACATTTTTCAGACTTCCATGCCTTATTGTTTCCACTGCGTCTCTCTTACAAGGTGGGAGACAGAGCTGGTGATGTGTCAGTCTGTGGAGCGAGACTGCGTGGCCCTGAAAAAGGCCAAGACTGATCACGAGCAGATCATTGCCTCTCTGAGGGGAGACCTGGACAGCCTGAAAGAGGAACTGTACTTCCTAAAGAGGAACCATGAGGAGGTGAGTGGGTCCTGCACCCTGACATTTTCTCTCCTTTCATCCCTCCTGGGCCTCGTCTCTGGTTCTCTGAGCTGCTCTACAAACAACAAGCTGCTTGATCTGGATATCAGACTGACCTAATTTTATGTAGTCACTGACTCTTTATTTATAGAGCAGAGAAAAACAGGAGTTTAGGGAGAGGGAGAGGGAGTGAGAGAGAGAGGGGTGGTCCTCTGGTTACTATACACAATAGCAGCAGGTAGATCTGGTTTCTCCATCCTACTCACTCTGTTCAATTAGCTGATACAAGCAGCCGTCCTCTGGGGGTGGAGGAGCTAAGATAAACTTACCCCTAGTCTCCCAATGAAGGACTGACTTCTTTCCACACAGATCCAGTTCATGTAAAATAGCTCTGGGGCCACTAACAATCCTTACATTCATTAGTACAAAGTGCAACTTCTGTTTGTTCTTGTTATTGAGTTTTCCATGTAACACCCAGCAGCTGATGGACTGGGGAAACCAAAAGAATGACAGCTTTTGTACTATAATTATTATTTATTTTTAAGTTTTTTTTGCAAATATTTTTGTGTCTTTCTGCTGAATTAATGTATTACGTGTAAAATAGTTTCAAATGAAATATTAAAAATTAGCAAATATTTTAGGGTTTAAACTAACTGCACTAGAAATATGCAAAACAATTTTTTTTAACATAATATATACTTTCTTTATTTCAACATTTTTCTGTATGTATGTAATGTCCATCTGCAAAAGGGCACATGAAAAAAAAAATGTAACCAGAGATGTAAAAAAATAAGCATGTGCTCGAAGTTAAGTTGAGAAAACAAACTCTCCTTCCCCATCACTATGCATGAAAAATTGCGATTCATATTTAAATAATATATATGGACCCAGAGAAGGGAGAGTGAACGAGGTCCCTGACCAGAAGTGCACGGTGTAAATGTGAACTGAGGGTAAGGTGAGCCCCACTCTATCAAAAATTGATGAAGAAGTTGTAAATAATGAAGAGCTGCTCACATCCTCTCTGTCGTCCTGTGGTGTAGGATTAACACATGTTGTCTTTTTAAACCAGGCACATCATGTTGTTACAATTACTGCACATTGACAAGAGTTTGGACAGTATGACGAAGCTTAACAGAAATTAGCATCAATTTAAGGTTTGCAGTTGTGGGAAAGTCTGAATTTTTTCACGCAATTTTTAAGGAAACACGCACAGTCGGTGACCTGACCTGACTTAACTTAGGTCATTTAGCTAAAAGACAACAAAGACTGCCAGAGTTTACCAATGGCATGACAAAAATAAACCACAACTAGCAACTGGCCAGCATATTTCTTAGCCAGAAGAGTACTAACAGGCACAATTTGGTCTAAAGTATTGCAGAGTAGTTAGCCAGAATAGCCAAAGTTGAGAAGTGACACTTTGCATGCTGGAAAGAAGAAGACTCTTGGTGTGAAAGCTCCGCTCACTTTCTGTTCATTTGACTTTTTGATTATGCAGGAGATGGAACAGATGAAGTCTCGTATTGCCAGAGACGAGGTGAATGTAGAGGTAGACTCTGCCACCGGGCCGGAGCTGGGCACTATTTTGGCTGACCTGCGAACTCAGTATGAGGGAATTGTCAACAAGAACAAGGAGCAGGCAGAGCAGTGGTACCACAAGAAGGTATGAGAACCCAGTATTGCACATTGTACAATAAGATGCGAAATAATCCTGTTGCTCCGTTTGGTTCATTTGTTTCTTTAAAGCTGGAGATGGTGCAGAATCAGGTGAAGGAGAACAACGAAGCTCTGAGAGCTTCTCAGGGTGAACTTACTGAGAGGCAGCGCTTCCTCCAGACCCTGGAGGTGGAGCTAGACGGTCTGCACAAACAGGTGAGCTACCACTGAGGGTCAACCTATGACAGATAGAAAACCTATTCTAAGCCCGATCAAAATCAATACATGTTAAACACCCTGTGAAATGTGACATACAAGATTGAGGGGTTTATTTGTCACATGGTCAGTTACAGTATACACGCACCATAGACTGTGCTCTTTCCATGTATTCTGCATTGAGGACTTTAAATACACAAAACAACTCCCATAAAAATAAATGCAATGGCAGGACAAGGAAAAGGAAACCAACACTGATCAATAGTGTCATAAAATAAGTGGTTTTGAATGTGCAGATATAGCTAGTAACAGATTTCATAATATCAGTGATTTTTTTTTCAAACAATTTTCAGTAATTTCAGTAATGTAATAGTCACATTTTCAAGTTTCCGATGGTACCTGAACGCACCTCGTTTGACAGCTGAAAGATTGACACAAAAACGTCTTGATCTGTTTAGTCCTGGTGGTTTGCGTCTGTTATCAAACTGCTCTGCTTCCCAAACTAGCGTGCGGCTAGCTAGCCCATGTTTGTTTATACATTTCTAAACTGCTAAACAAATGTAATATTTATGGAATACTGAAAGTAGGAAAATACATTCAAAAAGTTAATATTTCATATATATATGTATATATATATATATTGCTAAATATTTTGTAGCATTGTCTCTGTGTTTGCAAAGAAGCTAATGCTCCTAGAATATCTAGGATATTCAGGAGGATGTTGAGTTTTGTTATTGGAGTAATTAGCCCAGTGTTATTTGTACGTAGATCTAGAGGCTGTACAGACGTAGTCTTGTTCAAAATGCATAATCCTCATGCAAATATTACTGTTGCAAATATCTTTTCCACAGAGGCATGTTCTTTTGAAAACCTTTTAAAAAAACACAGGAAGTCTTCTCAATTGTTTGGTTTCACAGTCAGTTGGATCCTTTTCTTACATTTACATGTCCACGTTGTGGTTTTGCATGACTGTCTGGGAAAATGTCTTGTTTTTCACTCTTGTAATCTCTTGTTGACAGTCGGCCTATTATCCAGCCACGCTGCTAAGTAAAGCAGATTTAGTTGCTAAGTGGTACAGGGGTGGGATTTTGGTGGTGAGGCTGGTAATCGTGTCTTAGCTGCATGTGTGTTTGCCTTGGATGCCAAGGCCATGTCAGGATACAGGTATTTTGTTGATAATGGTTTAGGAAGTCATTTCTGAATTATCAGCTCTGGTTTCTGCTGGTGAAATCATGTGGCAACAGGAAATGGTTGTGTGTCTTGCAGTAATAATTGATTTCAGAATCATGCCACAACATGACCACACGCTGCTGAATGTTAGACCGCTTGCATTCACAGCAAGAGGATCGCTGTTAGAAAAAGTGTTCAAATAGATTTGTATCCATTTTCTTTTGCCCACCTCAGCTTGGTTTTTCTTCTTTTATTCATCTCTTTATTCTTGGATAGTTTTTGCTACACATATACACACGTATGGAATATATATAGTGAGAGAGAGACGTGTGTGTGTATATATATAAATATACTGTATGTGTACTGACACTCAGAGCACATCAATAGACCGAGATCTAGATCTATATGTGAATAAATACAGAGGATCTTCTCTCCCTCCCTTCAGATTGCAGCCCTGGAAGGAAACCTGGCTGAGACCAGTCAGAAGTACTCAGGCGAGATGGAGCGGCTGCAGGCCAACCTCAGTCAGATGGAGGACAACCTCTCCCAGCTCAGGCTGGAAATGCAGCGCACCAAGACCGACTACGAGCAGCTGCTGCGCATCAAGCAGAACCTGGAAATGGAGATCGCCACCTACAGGCGCCTGCTTGAGGGAGAGGAACTGTAAGATTTGAATTGATCTGTTTAAATCCACGACTCTTGAGTAAATGTGTGTGTTAAAAGATCCAATCTAATCTCAAATCTAATTCAACGTTGTACTCCATAGGGTGAAGGAGATTCCTGCTCCACCAAAGAGTGAGTGTTTGATTTTTGAGTTAAAATGAGAAGAACAGTAGGAATGAAAATGAAAATAACAGAATGACAATTGTAAAAATGAGAATAACAGACCCAGCAGCATTGTTAAAAAAATAAAAATAAATGAAACTAACCAGTGTTTAAAAACACAAAATACTACTACTACTACTATATAGTAGTCTGTATTATATATTTAAGTAAGTAGCACAGTCTTATTTAAACTATAATCAGCAGCCGGATTTTAATCAGATTAAAGACAGGCAATTTGTTCCTGGATGTTCGTCAGACTCACACATCTTATCTCTAATCCTGAGCTGACTACAGTGACCTCTACTGTACCTAATGTTTTTACAAGCAGCAAAAAACACAAAACACACACACCCAACAAAGTCGGGTATGAAAATTCTTAACCCGTTCCAAATCCGTTTGAGACACCATAAGAAGAGCAGAGACAACAGAGCAACACACTGAAGAACAAAAGCTGAGTAGCTTGTTGTTTTTAGTCAATGGCAACCATTGGGGAAGGAGGGATAGGATTACATCCAATCATTTACTGTACTTTATAATAATTAACATTGGGACTGATAAGAACATCTATTTTAAAACCACTAATTTAACACTCTTCTTATCCAACCTCACAGTCTTTAATATTCACCTGTCTGATTCTCATACAGTCTTGGCTCATAACAGTGACACTTTAATAGCCTTATACATTTATCCTTGTTTGTCTGTGTCCATTAATGGCATTTCATCTATTCTCATTTCTTCCAATTTAAACAAATGAAATCTCACCCTCTTCCTTGAACTCATCTCAATCTCAGAGGAGCCTGATGTGCGCACCAGGAAGATTGTGAAGGTGGTGACTCAGACGATGGTCAACGGCAAAGTGGTGGATGAATCCAGCGAGGTGGAGCAGATCGAGGAGACCAAGAAGTAGAGAAGAGCTGGAGAGACAGAGAGAGAAAAACAGAAATAAAGGTAGAAACCATGATAACGGTCAGAATATTTACACCTAGGCCTTATTGAAGTGAAACCACTTTAGTATGAGTCCGTGCCTGAGGGCACATACTATGTCTACTATGAATGTTTTGTGGTTAAATAGAGGCCCCCTGAACATTCTCTTTTCCAAGTAACAAGTTTACAAGCCTAGCAGCTTTCACACAATAACCATTTGATTTTATCTGCTGCCGTCTTTTACATCTATTTTAAATAGTGATGCCTGTGAAAAAGGAACTAACTAACCAACCAGTGCTATATCTTTACACAGTTTTACTAAAGAGATGACGTGTACTCCACTAATAAACAGGTGTGTTGGTGTGGTGAAGTTTACTGTAGTTTACAGGCATTTAATCCTTTCACACGAGTACCAATATATTTGTCTTTGTTGTTTATGTGTTTGTTGTACTGTGGAAATAAAACTTTGAATCAATCTGCTCCCACTTCTGCTGTTTAACACAGAAGTGACTGTCCAATGTCTTGTTCAGATATTTATGAATATTCACATTATAAGAACTTCAAATTCTCCTAATGGAACCTTGAGGTGTCTTAAAGTTTTTACCACTTCAAAATTGAAACGGCTGCATCTGATGTAGAAACTGGCAAAATTATATCAGTGTGATGAATATTATGGCCACCTCCTCTTCATGAAGGTTAATAGTGATTCTTTCAGCCATATTTGACAGTAACTGAGCAGTCAAAATGTTCTAAGACTAACAACCACAATCGACAGATGTCATTGTTGGCGCCTGACAGATGTGTCTTGACATTTTTTAAATGATAATGTCAGTCTTTGAACTTTTTGACATTTGACACCCAGAGATGAAACTGAACATGCGTCATTTTAGATGATCTGTATCCAAGCTCAAAGGCTTTCACTTACTGCTGGACCTACATTTTATATAATCTCTATTTAAAGGCATAGAGGAATAGGAACAAAGGTTTAGGTGTTGTCATGGTATCATATTTCGGGGCCGTTTTGATCACCTTAGTGATAATTTCAAGCATTTCAACTTTGAATTTATAGCATAGCTGGAGGAAGTGTGTGGAGAGAGGGAAGTCTGGGGGTCCCTGCTCAGACAGCTGCCCCCATGACCCGGCTTTAATCCCTGTTTTCATCTACATTACAACCTTTTTAGTAACAATTTAATGGGTGATATCTGTGTCAGTCTTTTATGCCTTTAAAACTGCTAGACTCTAATGACATAGAATTGTAAACATAGACAGAATCAACTGTTCAGTGAGAGCCATTGTGTGTGTGCTCTGGGTGTGAGGTTGGTCTGTGATGGAAATGTCAGACTAATTATACCGACAGCGACTCAAGCTCTTTATTTTGGGATGGTTTTACATAAGTTAAGCAGACAGATACAAATAAAAACCTGTTTTGAGACATTTAAGGATGGATTCCTCCTTCTTCACTGATCCTTTAATAACCACGTTCTACCTAAACACACACTTTGTCTGCAATGGTATCAGGACACCACTATCAGCCCTGTAATTAAGGGTCGTGATCTTGGGGTCACCAGGCTCTGACATCTTCAAAAAGAAAAGTTAAGAGAAAAGAAACAGGAGGACGGGGGACATGTTCTTTTTCTTTTGTTTGATGATGTAAGAGAAACCTTTAATTTAATTACATTTCCAGGATTCCCACCCATGGCCTCGTAATTCAAAAAGTTCATTTATAGAACAATAAACAAAAGGAAGCTGTGTTGCAGCGCAGATCAGGGTGAAGTTGGGTTTTATACCTTGCTGATGTATTTCAGGTCAATTTTAAACAATTTCCACTAAAGTTCTACACAATGTTGTGTTTATTTTTTGGCTAGGCTGAAGCAGTTACTAAACTAACCTTTATAAATTAATAAAAGTGAATACTGTTGAGGAATCTTTGCAGTAACTTTAGAATGCCACATATCTTTGCTTTAGGCTATTTTTGATTATTTAACACAATTTAAAGAGTAGTTATTAACACACTGTTGTGTTTTGTAATACACAAAACCCTAGCTAAACATTTCCTCATTATGCTAATGATGGCTAGCTTTTTAGGCACCAACTGAAAAAAAAAACATGTTTGGTACATTTTGTTCTCAGAAATTACATTTCTCAGTCTAGAAAATAAATAATAATACATGGAACAGAATGTTGTAATGGATATTGTATAGAATGTTATCAAAAATGAAACTGGGCTAATGTTTCAAAACAATCAGCAACCCCCAAATTAGCATTGCGTGGGTGTAGTGTACTCGATACTCTCCAAACACGGATACGAAGATAGCTTAAATTAAATTCACAGCAGTATTCCAGTACTCTCCTCAGACGTGCGATGAATGATTTGGTAGTTTAAAAGTACAGCAAAGGCAACGAGATTTGTGCTCAGCTTTCAATATGGTTTGACTGCACTCTAGTGGTCTCTCTTTACTATTGCAAAAACAGATAGAGGTCGGGCCAACGATTTCTTTGTTGATCGATTTGCGCTTAAAGGGGGCGAGGGAGATGAGGAAAATTAGTTTCATCTATCTATCTATCTCATTCTTAGTGCTCAGTTAAGCTGTTTAGGATGTTTTTTGTCTGATTCAAACAAGCAGGTTCCTACTGATATGACCTTTGACCTGTAGAGCACACTGAGTGGCCAGTAGCTCCATCCATCCATCCATCCATCCATTTTCATCCGCTTATCTGTTACCAGGTCACGGGGGCAGCAGTCTCCACCCAAATCACACTGCACCATACCAACCTCCCAAAGCCCTAACCGGGATTCGAACTTGTCCAGGAGGTGAACCCTGGGCTTCCACACCAATGACAGAGACATTGCCTCTGGGCCAAAGCGCCACTGGCCAGTAGCTGAGTTAGCATAATTAACTAAGGTCTAAGGTCTAAGGACTAAGGTCTCCAAACATCCCCCCACCACTAAGCCCATTACTGCATAGTACACATTGTGTTGTTTGGCTGCACTCCTCTGAGCTCAGGGGGAATCAGTGGGACTTAGATGGTGCAACATGTTTACAAGGCTGGGCCACCAATCAGAACTCAGCGTTTACTAAGACTTCAGACTCTTCCTGGTTTCTCACAACAGTTCTAAAACAGTACTGTGTGGCATTGAAAGACCAGAACAAATCACAATCACATTTAAAAAATATTTTATTTTTGTAATTTTTACAATTGTCCCGCAGAGAAAAAAAAAAGTAACAGCAACTTTGTCATTTGCTTTGAAAACCAATTAATCGTCTAAACATACAGGAATGTGTTTCCACTTCAACTGTCGACATTTTGGTGTCATAGTTTCATCTGTTTTCACTTTGATTCTGATTATATAAGTGTCAGAACGCGGCTTTGTCTTCTTCCATATACAACGTTTACACAACGGTGACCACACACTCTCTTTTCACTTCTCCGTCTGCTCGCTTTCAAACCCCCCTAGTTGACACACACACACACACACACTTCTCCTCTTCCTCTCTAGCAGGCTCCAGACTGCAGCACCTGCTGGAACTGTCCGGCCATGCAGATTTCCTCCTGTTTCTGACGCACTAAGCGCTGGATGGCAGGGGGGAAACCGCGAGGGTTCCTGGAGAAGACCAGGGCGTAGCCGTCATCGCAGCTGCCATCTTCTTTGATGGTGCGGCAGGCGTAGGTGATGGCGTAGTTGTCGTAGTCGGTGTCAATGATCCAGTAGTTGTCTCCTGGTGAGGTAGAAATGATCGATGGTGAGTAAAACATAGATAGGAACAGAGATATGGAAATGTGAGCTCTGCTGACCTCCGCTGGACAGGTAGCTGGCCAGGCCCTGGTAGTTCATGAACATCTTGCCAGGGGTGCCAGGGTCGGGGACAGTGTACTGGGCAGCCATGTCAGCACACACAACCCAGAAGCTGCAACAACAGGTTAACATCATTAATTATGTTTTTTTTTTTATTTAGTTTATTTAACAAAATGACATCAGCTCTTTTGTGCATTTCCATGTTTTTTGCATTTAAGTAAATTCCCATTCAATGATACAGTATGTGGACTTCAGAGCTGAGCAGCCCTATCCCACCCAGGTCTTAGGGACTAAAGAAGTCCTTTGTGTCCTTGTGTAAAACGACCTCTGCCTGAGTGGGCTTAAAGAGACTGACACCAGGAAGTGAGACGACTTACCCAAACAGGGTGACGCGTCCCTTGGAGGAGGCAGTCATGGAGCCGTCGTCATCGATGGTGTACTCAGCAGAGATGTTGTCCTGCAGGAACAGACCCTCCGGATCCTTCTTCTGCAGGGCGTACCATTTTCCTGCATACTGTGATCAGACAGGGGGAAAAATAAAATCAGATGTGTGTTCAAATTCATGCTAAAGTCACACTACATCAGGATATGTCAACGCACCCTTTTTGGGTCAAAGTCCTGTTTGACGGAGAAACTGTCCACCACACAGGAGGCAGACAGACAGCGCTCCACGCAGGAAACCAACATGAGGAGCAGGGCCAGCTTGGAGGATTCCATCCTGTAATAAAATTAGGAGAATATGTCAAAACACATTCCATCCTGTAATAAAATTAGGAGAATACGTCAAAACACATCACAACACACACAGAAATATCAGTTAATTTATGTAAATGTAAAAAAACTGGTTTCAGGAGCAAATTAAAAGAACACACTTAGTATTTTATGACAAAAGCAAATACCAACACAAGAAGGTTATTTTCTTTAAAACTCAATAAAACTCATTTTCTCACCTGTTGTGTTTGGGTGAAGGTCGCAGCAGCAGTTCAAACTCTTCCTTTCTGTGAGGATCCGACAGAATGAGTCTTGGTTTGAGCGCTGCCCTTTTTATACACACTCTGCAGACGTGCTTATGGCTGACTTTCGCCGCCTGGAACTAAATAAGGTGCTTAATCTAGAGGTAATCTTGTTGTCTGAAAATCCTTACTGTAATCTGGCTTCTGTGTTCAAACCTGCCCAGGACTTATTATAAAAACAGTTAATCCTTTATGTAACTGACGAGACGTTCAATAAAACAAACACGTGCAAGGAGACGCACAAGCTGTCTGCACATGTTGACAATACAGTCCACAATACTGGGTTGAATAGAAAACAATTAGCCACTTGCTAAACTTGCTAACTTGCTGATGGAAAAAAACTTCAGGTGCAGTAGGTTAACATATAATAACAATAATCAAAAGTTAGCCTAAAGTAGCTAAAATGTGCCTCACGTAAACTAAAGCTGAAGTAAATTACAGAATAACCGTTTTAAGGTTACCACGAGCAGCTAAATTGTAGCTAAGATAAGCTAAAGCTAAGGTAAATTACACACAAACCACTCTACTGTAAAGGTTTCCACAAGTAAATGAAATGTACCTCATATTCGCTAATGCTAACGTGAAATATACCAGTTTAGTTAAACTATTTAAAGTTTAAACTATTTTGTTTGTTGCAGCTTGCCTTTAAGGTTCTTTTCTTTTTATTCCAGAAAAAAGGATGTTTTTGTGCTAATTTTTTGGTTAGCATTGCTTATGTGTGTTATCTGTTGGGGTTCTTATATATGCTTATACTGATATATACGGTGTGTATGTATATATATATATATCAGAAATCATTAACTGGTGGCCCACGGAACCCCTGGCCCATGTCCACTCCAGCCCAAGACTGGATTCCTATAATAAAATCAAATGAATTAAATTTAAATAATTTATTAATATTAAATTATTTCCTATTAATTGAATAATAAGTTAAATAATTTAAATAATAATTCCAACCTGTATTTTGTTTTGTTTTTTGTTCTTTGGCATCTTTTGAGCCATTTTGCAACTGTGTTTTTTTTTTTTTGCACTAATCCACGTGTGAACCCTGGCTTTAGAATCCTCTGAGCACATGTGGGCTCAACCACATATAAATGCTTCAGTGCTGAAAAAGCTTAGCGTACTGTAGCTAACCTGTAGTTTATTTTCTTCAACTATAATATCTAATAACTATAATGATCCTAAAATCACCAAGTCTGCTTTCTGACACTGAAACCAGAGTTCCTGAATGTTTATACTTTAGCTGTGGTGAATTGTAGCGTAAATCATTGTTATTTATTCAAAACTTTAAGTTCATGCACACACAGTCTTAAAAAATCTATTTAAAAAATATTTGCGTGAAGTTGAATTATTACACAAAACAAATGGATGTTTTGTGCAATAATTCAACTTTGTTTTACATTGCTGTACTGTTGTAAATAAATGCCCTATCCTTTTAGTTTACAACATGTTTGCTCCATGATTAGGGTAGCTTTAAACAGATTTGTCCGAGGTGATTAAAGTGCCTCAGCAGATCATCAACGCAGAAATTCACACAGTCAGCAAAAACGCTCACAGCACATGTTGGGAATGTTGTTTCTTGATATTCACTCGCAAATAAGATCTCTATATAATATTTTCTCAAAGTTCAGTAAGGAATTATGACATTTTACAAACACACAAACTGGCATGACGGATATTTGGTCAACTGTTCGCACATGGTACTAATGTATGTGAGGAAATTAAGACAACCTCATGACACGACATAAGCAGTGTAACCGTATTTGTCACCTAAGATTTACCCAGTATTTTTATCTAATTTTGACAGACAAGTAGTTGCATAATTAAAAAAACAAAAACAAAACAAAACATCATGTCACGATGGAATTATTACGGTACCAATATTTTATATTTGATTCAAACATTTTGAATAGGATGATCATACTTTCACACTGCGGGGAGTTCAACAGTTCAAAACTTTCTGCAGTGAACTGTTGAACCCTGATTCCTGGATTAACTACACTAGTTTGGGATTATTGCTGGTAAAAATATATCACAGAATAGTCCTGTCTGATTTTCAATTATCAAAATGATCTTTTATTTTACTTTATTCTCATTTTATTCTCATTTTTACATATATATATAAATAACATTTTCTAACTGAAGATACATACAGATGAGACAGAGGGATAATCTATTTTTCCCACTGACTGTGCTGCTCAGTGCTTTAATCCTTGCTGAAAATGACTCACAGACACAAATAGTTTTACGGAACATCTTTTTAAAGAGCTGTGTTTATTTAGAGTTTCTGCTTTTAGACAGTATTAACGGGCAAGCACGTAAATACCAGGCATCAGGTAATCAGGAGTTTAAATAAGGTGAACAAGTATTCAGTAGTGAAGCAGAGGTTATGGTTTTATATATGTTTTGCATTTATTGTGAAGCTATGTATTGGTTGATAAGTAATTATTTAAGTTCCCTTATGCGTCTGAACTTTGACCTGAAAGGAACCAAACAGCATGTCATCAAAGCTTCAGACCTCAACCATCAGCAATTTTAACAGGTTGTTTACTGAAAATGACTCAGGACAAGTCCAAAGCCTGATTACAGTAAGTCTCTGCTGATCTGTATAATTAACCAGTTTGTACTGTAACTCCAGTCCTGAATAAATGTAACAGCTTGAAACTTAAGGCTGTATTGTAGATGCCACTTCCACAGAAAGGAAACCACTGGCATTTGATGTTCAACCTGCAAAAGAAAAACAGAAAAAAAAGCTTTCTCCCCAATGACTAATCTATTATTTTTGCTATTTACGTTTTATTTACAAAGGCTCTTGAAGTGAGTTTGTCGAATCTGTGGGGGTTATGGCGCACTCGGGTGGCTGAAAATTAGAACTACACTGTCTTTTCGTACCTGCGGACAACTGCAAAACTTGCCACCGCAGTATTATAATAATTTTTTCCTATAATTTCAATGTTTCCATGTAACAGGTTTTTCGGGGATTTTATTTAACTTGAAGTCCATTTAGGTTGAATGTGCTTTGTGTACTTGGGCTTTTACGAGTAAAATTTACGTGACTTCACTTTTCTCAGTGTAGCAGCAATACGCTTCCGTAGACTCGATAGCAGTAGCCTTAGCTATAGCTTATTCAATGTCCATTCCTTTTATCGGTCTCCCCAGCAACGACATACAGCTTATATAGTGTTCCTACATATGCCTATCCCTTATACCAAACAATTTGCTTCAGTGATACATGCCATAATCTAAAACAGACTACGAGTTTAGCATAAAGCAAACATTTATTTTTAGCATAATTAAAAATAAAACCTTTATTTTCCTTAAAATTTAGAACATCTTGTAGCTTAGCAAACATTTATTTTTAGCATAATTAACAATAAAAACTTCTTTAAAATTTAGAACATTTTGTAGCTGAATATTTAACTTCCTCTTATAGCCGGTTTTATTGTGTCAGCTTCCGCTCTAATTTCAAAAGCATTCACTTCCTATTGTGGTTCGTTTCCCGCCACTCATCTACAAGCCCCGCCCCTAATCCATTTCACCTGTAACTGTTACATATGGAAGGTAAGTCAAATGTTTTAAGACAGATGAGGACATTGTTGGAAGTGTTTGATTTTAAAAACACGGACAGATTTTGTTATCACATTATTGTCAAGTACTGAGCTGTAAGCTTAAAAAATAAACAATTTTAGAAATAATTTCTAATTCACATTAACATTTTTTCTCCTATTGTTTTCATATCATAATGCCATTTACAAAATGGTTGAGAGTCAAACAGAGGAAATATTGAGACATATCATTTTGTTTGTCTTGGAACTGTTTGACACACCTTCATATTTATGACTGCATTTAATCTCAGCGGATTATATACTGTACCATATTGAACATGTTTTATTTGATATAGAACTTGAATCTTTGCCTTGGTTCTTGTTTTGCTAAATGTTTTCAATATTTTTATGGAGGAATTCTACTGTAAGAGCTTATGGCACAGTCAGAGCTATTGTTCTGTTAACCCTTACTGTTGTTTTACCTTGATTTACCTGTGCTCACTGGTGCTTTATGTTTAATGGACACATTTACAGCTTCTCTACTGTAAATGTTTAATATTGCCATTCACATGGGAAAAAATATGCACACGGTCATGAAGACATGGTCAGGAGGTCAATGAAAATTAAGGAGTTTTTTTTAGATTTTTAAATAAACTTTTACTACATAATATCTTTATCGTAGCATTACCCCTGCGTTTAATTCATTAAGCAAAACAATAGTGTTGTTATTCTTTCTCTACATGATAAAGTGAAAGATTTTCTGCAATTTTCGAGGCGATTCAGTTTACACTGTTTTGAAATGCTGTTACGAAAGGTGTGAATAAATTAACCTGAGGGGAGTGGATCATCAGGCTCCATATTTGTACCTAGATGATCAGCTGACAGATTTAGGCAGAGGCAGATCCCTGCTAACCTTCAGCACTATCTGCTGATGACACAAGGATTGATTGGATTCAGCCCTACACCACAGGGCTATTTATCCTTCTTACAGGCATCTTTTTTTTTTTTTTTGCATTTAAAAGCAAACTTTTGGTTTAATGACATTGTACGCGGAAAAGTTCAGTTTTTCTTTTCTTTAGAGGATAAGCCAGATTTTTCAGACGCTGTTGGATGCAGCTCATTTAGAGCAACTTGAACATAGGGGAAGCTCCAGTACTGAGCTTGAAGAGGTAGAAGACATTTGGACAGGAAGAAAAGGGAAGAAGGAGCCATGAGTGCGAACAAAGAAGACGTGGAGAAGTTTCTCAATGGAAATCCTGCATTTGCTAAGCAGTACTTTACCAAGAAGATGAGCCCTGGTTCTGTATCCAAGGCGTCCGGACTTCCTGAGGCGCAGATTGACTTCAGCCAGTTTGAAGAGCTAAGTCAGGTAAATTGAATTGTTTTTTCAAGGACCTATTATGAAATGACCTAAGTGAGGGTAAGGGACAGTTCTGGACTATTTGTCCTTATTTTTAGCCATAGTCCATGTTTTTAAAGAGCAGGTTTTAAGATCTGGATTATTTCCCAGTTACTATACTACTCACAATTTCCTTAGCCTTTGGCTAAACCTCTTAGTTTATTTCAATGTTATCTCTCCTAAGGTTGAAGAAAGCCAAATAATGTATAGCCTGATCAAAGACATGCAAGAGAACGTCAACATGGAAAAGGTGGTCTTCAAGATCCTGAAGAGAATCAGTGCCCTCATCCACGCCGACCGCTGTAGCCTGTTCATGTACAGACAGAGGAACGGCATCGCAGAGCTGGCCACCAGGCTCTTCAACGTCACCTCAGAAGCAGAATTGGACGACTGCGTGGTGCCGCCAGACTCCGAGATTGTCTACCCGCTGGACATGGGAATAGTTGGACATGTGGCGCAGACCAAGAAAACTGTTAATGTCAAAAATGCCAAGGAGGTAAAACAAGGGGCTGGGATTAAAAATTAGCAAGAAAAAAAATTCTTATAAAGGATTTTCAAAGATATGGCCAAAATCTGATTCTATCAAAGCTCAACTGTTGTCACATTGTATTCATGTTTCCGAGATTGTTGTAGCATTTATTTCTACATTTTGTACACAATAGTTGACTAATCAAAGCAAGTCCAGCTGGCTGCAAACAGTTAATGGTACACATATAAACTAAAAGAACAACAGCCTGCTGTGTTAGTATGGTGTAGATATAGTTGAGAGAATGAGGGTGTAAATCCCCCTGTCAGACATAATCCATTTATTTCCAGATCCCATCAGCCTCTGCTTTAGCCGTGGATTAGACTCCCCTGGCATTTAGTCGGCAGGGATCTAAAACAGATCGAAACAAGTTTATGCTGCCCCCTTAGGTCGGACTGTTGTACATCAGCTATTTAACCTTTCTTCGCTCTTTTTCAGAATCAGTACTTTAGCTCATTTGTTGATGAACTTACTGACTATGACACCAAAAGTGTTCTGGCCACAGCCATCCTCAATGGCAAGGACATGGTGGCGGTGATCATGGCTCTGAATAAAACCACTGGACCACATTTCACAGCTGAGGATGAAGATGTGAGTCACACACACAGCACTCTGAGGGAACTCAGTGTGGGGAAAAATAGCAACTTATTCAGAAAGTAACTTTTCAATGTCTAGTTTTAATCAAGTTTGTTAATTGTTGGATAAAAATTAACAAACTTCATGACAATCCAGCTGTTTTCTACCTAACTGGTTAAGAATGACCTGGATGACTGGAAATCCCTTTTGAGTGTGTTCTATATAAGTCACATTATTAATCCACCCTGTGTTGTTATCCTATGTAGTCAGCTCTTGGCATATACCACAGGAGTTCGATGTAACCCTAAAACACCCTAAAGATGGCCCCTTAGTGGCACAGAACAGTACTGCGAGCTTCAGGGGACAAAGAAATTAGAAGAAAAGACAAAGAGGTCTAAGAGAAATTGAAAGAAATCTTCTTTGAAAATAACAAAGCCCTTTCTCTACATATCCTTCATGAAAGCCTAAAAACTTTCGTGAGAATTCTTTCTTTGCAGAATTCTGGAGGCAGTCTCTCACTTTTGGTCAGAACCTGCAAGTCTTGTCTGAGCACTGTGATCATGTGATAGTGACACGTCATCCTTCCTTTCAAATGTTCTTTTAATTCTTGAGGATTTTAATAATTTAACAGTATTCCATTCAAGTTTGGTCTGCCACGACTCCAATGCATGATGGGAAATATCGTTTCGGTAGTGTACATCGGATGTGTAGTAGATTTTGCTGTGCATTGTGGGATACATTTAGTTCCCTATATAGTAGACATCTTCTACAATACATTCACTGGTTTGAGATTTTTTTCAACGTTCCATACAATGCCATTCAACTGTTGTGGTATTGGCTAATACATTTGTTAAAAAACAAATTAATATTCAAAGAACTACAAATGGAAACGTAAATAGAAATTAAGTTGCACTGTGAACATGTGCCGTTAATGTTATGTTATTTTCTCTCATTTGTCAATGTAGCTGTTTTTAAAGTACCTGAAAATTGCCTCCCTCAACCTGAAGATCTACCATCTGAATTACCTCCACAGCTGTGAGACACGCAAAGGGATGGTAAGGGACAGAAGACATTCTCATTTGTACGTCATCAGCCTTTACACCTGTGATCTTCTGATAACTGTTGGCGTTTTTGTCCGTAGATGCTGCTGTGGTCAGCCAACAAAGTGTTTGAGGAGCTGACGGACATTGAGAGACAGTTTCACAAAGCCTTGTACACAGTGCGAGCCTACCTCAACTGTGACCGCTACTCCGTCGGTTTACTGGATATGACAAAGGAAAAGGTACATGGTTTCACTGCCTCCATACAACTTTTTCATTTCCATTAATAATACGGTCTTAAATCTTTGAGCAGTACAGGACCAATACTGATCCTGGGTATGGGATCGAGCCATCCCTTATTTCAATATACTTTGATTTTCACCTATAAATTCCTCTTTGAACTGTACTGTGTCTCCATCTACTATGAAGTCATCTGTCCTTCCAGGAGTTCTTTGACATCTGGCCAGTCTTGATGGGAGAGCAGCCCCCGTACTCTGGCCCTGTGACCCCAGACGGCAGGGTAAATTACTGTGCTACCATTAGTTAATGGAACTTTATTCCTTGTGTCTTCTCTAACTTGTATATTTTTGTTTACAGGAAGTTATTTTCTACAAGATAATTGATTACATACTGCATGGAAAAGAAGACATTAAAGTAATACCGTGAGTGCAAATGAAGTCATTCTTGAGATCTTATCATTATTTTATATTCTATTAATAGGGATGTCCGATATTAATGTTTGTGATGTTCCATGTTCTGATTTTAAAACACTCAATTTCGATATCAACCCATACCGATATATATTTTATTTACTTATTTACTTATATATTTCTTGCCTCACTTCAGTTATATTTGGGATTGATTTGAAGTATTCCTGTTGATAGGCTAAATATTTAAATTATTTTATTATTTCACAATTTTTGGACTTTCTAAATTACTATTATGTTTGTTTGTAATGTTATTATTTATTTTGTGAAATTCATACTTCTTATGTGTTGTGTATACTGCTGTTTAAGTTTTAATTTTGCTGTTGTGAATTAACTGTTGTCATATATATTTTTAATCAAGTTAATGACTCAAACCTCCACTAATTTCTGACGCAGAAATCCACCTGCGGATCACTGGGCTTTGTGTAGCGGGCTGCCCACTTATGTAGCTGAGACGGGTTTCGTGAGTTATTCCTCTTTCATTGCAACAAACTTCTAAACCGATTAAGATCCAGTTTGGTCCTGAAACACTTGAGCCATAAACACTTTTTGTTCCTTCTGTTCAGATTTGTAACATCATGAACGCAGCTGCTGATGAGACGTTTGAGTTCCAGGTGAAACAGTATAGCAGTCAAAGTCAAAGACATTTACAGGAAAGTGATCTCTGGTTAATTTATCGAATCTTTGTTATGACGTTGCAGACTGAGCCGCTTGACGACAGCGGCTGGACCATTAAAAATGTTCTCTCACTGCCAATCGTCAACAAGAAAGAAGAGATAGTGGGCGTGGCTACATTTTACAACAGAAAAGATGGGAAGCCGTTTGATGAGCTGGATGAGCAGCTAATGGAGGTAACGATAGTCTGACAAATAAACACCATTTTCTGAGGGAGTGGTTCTCAAACTAGGGTACGTGTAGCACTACTTGTACTTGGGCAGCCTCTGATGGTACATAGGGCAATCTGAGTAACTGCCTGATCTGCCCTACTTTCTTGTAAATTGTGTTATTGTCAAATAAAAGGTCTAATAATCATACTGGAATAAAATTATTTTAAAAAATGATCAAAAAATATTAACAGTTATTTTTAATAGTGATCTTAGCAGAACAGGATCACACTGAGCTGAGTTGATCTTGAGAACCACTGTTCTACAGCATACTGAACAGTTAACAATTAGATCTGATCTTGCCTGTGAAATCCACCACGTTTATCTGAATTTTACTACAAAATAGAATGACTTATGTCATGATTTCTACTTCCTCAGGCTCTGACCCAGTTCCTGGGCTGGTCGGCTTTGAACACAGACACTTACGACAGAATGAACAAACTGGAAAACCGCAAAGACATTGCTCAGGATATGGTGCTGTACCACGTCAAGTGTCGTGATGATGAGATTCAAAACATTCTGGTACTTCACACCTGTCAACTCAGCCTTGACTGTTCATATGTATACATACTATAATGAGTTTGACCTAATAACAAACACCAAAAATACATTTCAGAACACCAGAGATGTCTACAACTGTGAACCAAGAGACTGTGAGGAGGACGAGCTCTTGGCTATCTTGGTACCACTGACACACCACTGTCATTTTAATCCTGATTGGGGAACATCCCAGTAATATTTTTAATCCTACTGCTGTGTTTTCTTTTCTTTCATGTCCGCTGAAGAAAAAAGATCTGCCGCCACTTATTAAGAAGTTTGAGATCTACGAGTTTCACTTCTCAGATTTTAACTGCACAGAGATGGACCTGGTGAAGTGTGGAATCCAGATGTATTATGAGGTCGGGGTGGTCAAAAAGTTCCAGGTCCCACAGGAGGTCAGGATCCACAACAAAGACACATTTTCTTATTTGTTTATTTTCATTATTTCAGACAGCTTTATGTCATTAAACATGTTTCTGTTTCTTGACCTTTTTTCAGGTGCTGGTCAGGTTCATGTACTCACTCAGTAAAGGCTACAGAAGAATCACCTACCACAACTGGCGTCACGGTTTCAACGTGGGCCAGACGATGTTCACCCTCTTAACAGTATTACGTCATTTCTATCTGGGTCCACAGCTGTAATGATTCAAACTGTCATATTGTCATCTCTTCATTAACTACTGTCCTCGTGCTCAGACAGGGATGCTGAAGCGATACTACACGGACCTGGAGGTAATGGCCATGATCACTGCAGGCTTTTTACATGATATTGACCACAGAGGCACAAACAACTTATACCAAGTGAAGTAAGTGCTGCAGGTCGTCCTTTTCAACTCCTTGTTCAAACGTTACTTTGCAAAATGACACTTCAGCAAACAGGACCTGTGATTACTGTGAAACCAAGACTTAGATGTAAACAACCCACTTTACTGACTTAAAAAGCTGAAATGGACTTATTTATCTTGAAGCTATAGCCTTAGTATTAGTGATCAACTGATGGCCCACCAAACTGCCCCAAATCTCAGGGCTGGATTCTAAAATAAACATCATTTGACTTTTATTTTATTTTCTTAGTGTCCTGTTCCTAATGTTTGTTTGACCCGAGAGACCGGGTTTTCCAAAAAAATAATTCTAGAAAAAAAAAAATTTCTAAAAAAAAAAATTCCAACACCAACAGATCTGGCAACCCTCTGGCTAAGCTACATGGCTCCTCCATCCTGGAGCGGCATCATTTAGAGTTTGGAAAGTTCCTCTTGTCTGATGAGGTGAGAATGAAAAGGGGACTTGGAGATTATTATTGTTAAATTGAAGGTTCATATTAAAACTTTTTGCTTTTTTTTACCCACAGTCACTAAACATCTTCCAGAACCTGAACAGGCGGCAGATGGACCACGTCATTCATCTCATTGACATCGCCATCATTGCCACAGACCTGGCTCTTTATTTCAAGTCAGTCTTTTTTTTTTTTGCTTCCACCACAAGTATATGCTTATGCATTCATACTTATCTGGTAAAGAAATACATTTCTTGCCATGATACCATTCTAGGAAAAGAACCATGTTCCAGAAGATTGTGGACCTTTCAAAGACATACGAGGAGGAAAAGAAGTGGGTCGACTTCATGTCTTTAGAAACGACTAGAAAAGAGATTGTCATGTGAGTGGAAAGAAACACATGTTGTTTCGTCTCTATTTACAGTCTCTCTTTGATACTGAAACATTAACCGTTTCAGGGCCATGATGATGACAGCGTGTGACTTGTCCGCTATCACCAAGCCTTGGGAGGTACAAAGTAAGGTGAGAAATATGACTGTTCAATTGTGAGGTCGCAGCCCATGTGGGGACGCCTGAAACTAAAATGGGGTCATCTAAAATGTCTGGTAATTGATGGAAAAAAAATTACTGATAAAAATAGTTTTTACTTATTCTAGATTATTTTTTTAATTATGATTAAAAAGCACACACAATATTAAACATGATTGTAAACCGAGTTCAAATAAAATGCAGCAAAAAAGGGTTTAACACATGACTGACAAAGTGTCTCTTTTGTTATGTCTCTGTCAGGTTGCCTTGTCTGTGGCAGCAGAGTTTTGGGAGCAGGGCGACCTGGAGAGGACAGTACTGGAACAGCAGCCCATCGTATGTTCAAAACCCATTTTGTTTTTTTTAACCTGTCAAGTAAGTGTCTATGTCTTTATGTGCATTCTGGTGGTTTCTTTCTCATCAGCCTATGATGGACAGGAACAAAGCAGCTGAACTTCCCAAACTACAGTGCGGTTTTATTGACTTCGTCTGCACATTTGTTTACAAGGTCATCTTTCACACTGACTGCATGAACCAGCAGTATGTTCAGAAACAGGAAACACTTTATTGATGTGATCAAACTCCCCTCTCTCCTCCCCAGGAGTTTTCTCGCTTTCACCCACAAATCCAGCCCATGCTGGATGGCATCCTGAATAACAGGAAGGAGTGGAATGCAAAGAAAGAAGAGTACGAAGCTTCACTAAAAGCTTTAGAGGAGGAGAAGGCTGCTAAAGAGGCGACTGCTGCCAATAAAGGTACAGCGATTTTTTTGGAAAATAATTATTTCTCCCAGTAATCAACTCTTTATCTCTTGGCCATTCCAAAATAGCAAGAAACTTCGGTGTCATGACTGATGATCAGCAGTTCATGTTGCCTCCGTTGCTCAGTTATGTCGCTTTAATATTTTAATAAGGTATAAAACAGCAACATCGAACAGCTATCACATGACTCACTTTATTTAATGGGAATCTGATTCCCCAGCTTACCACATGGGGGGGCACAAACCAGTTTGAGAACCACTTCCCATTGGTTAGGGGTGTGATTCTAATGATGCATTGTAATGTTTTGAGATTAAAATAATATGAGAAATGAAAGTATTTTAATGCTGAAATTTAAAATGTTGTGTTGACGTCTATTTGCTTCAACAGCTCCTGGCAACAACACAGGTGGTGGTGGAGGCTCCAAAACCTGCTGCATCTGTTGAGGGTAAAAATTAAAAACCACCAGACTCATCTCAACATCAGAGCCAGCCCAGGAAATAATCTTTACGATGGACAGAACAGAATTATTTTTGTAATTGTCCATTAACTTTCCTAACAGGTGAGCACACAAAAAAGAAAATATATATATACTGTACATTCAGAATAGTGGGAGTAGCTGGAGCTGGAGCCAATCCCAACTGAGACTGGAGAATGTTTGTTTTTGACATTCTTCCAGTGTTTTTGACCACAGACAATGGTCAGTCATTTTGTATAAAATACATTGAGGTTAATTAATGTTCTTTATGTCATTTAGATGTAAGTTTACTGAGGTGGGGCTAATGCTCACCACTTTATATGCATTAAAGACTCATGTCTTTTATTCACCTTCCAGTCACTTCTCTTCCACAATTGAGAGTTTGTTTACCTTGATGCACAAAACCAAAGGTAGATAATGAGCTCAGGGCCACTGATTTCTGTGTAAACCTGATCATGTGTTTCCTTCTGGTAATGTAGGAAAACAGCTTTGTCTTTGTCTGAGAAATTAGCCTTTATTAGCAGCAAATAGGTCTGCTGCAGCTCGCTTGCTAAGCCGTCGTATTGTAAAATCATATTGCAAATAGCAAAACATTTATATATGTATATATTAATGTGTCTATATTTATAAATATATATGTGTATGTATACATACATATATTCCTTTCTCTTTTTTAAATAGAGACATATTCTGGCTTCTGGTAGGATTACATTTAACAATGGAGATGTATTTATTCTGCATGAACCTCCACCTAAAGACCCTACTTTGATGTGGATGTCATTTTCTATCAATTGAAACCCCAAAATAAAGTGCTAAAGAAGCAAATATGCTAAACACCATCTGAAATGCTAAGAGTAACAATGTGTTGAAAAACAAAATAGACTTTTCAAGGATACCTCAGATGTACACAATCCCTCTCTCTACGTAAATATAAAGAATATTTTACTTGAATCCTCGTGATATTCGCAGACACTAATATTACTCATTAGGCCATTATTTCCACCCTTGTATGGTTTAAGACACCTGTAAAGTTGTTGTAATAATATATGCAGGGATGCTTTTTGAATAGATGTTATACATCATAGTTAATATTCTAAGGGTGACATTCATGCACAGAATGTGTTTGTAAAGTTAACCCAAATAAAGCATATTTATTTTTTATGAGCCAAGTGGTTGGGTACATTATTTATTATATTTCAATGGCAGTTAACTATTTATGGTATTGTGTATATTTTGATCCACTTTGACCTTTATGACAAGGTTGTTTATACAGTACAACATAGTAGAGCATTTCTGTCCACGCTGCACTTTCTACTATTGTTCCCTGACCCTAATCCTGGGATTGCTGCTAAACAAGGCTGGGATTATGGTCATGCTGCAGACAGTGACTCACCTCCCCTGAAAGGCAATCACACATTTACAACTGCTTGGCTTGTAGTCTATCGTAATGAATATTTCAATAGATATAAAACAATACTATCGTAATGAATATTTCAATAGATATGTTGTATGTGTTTGTGTTGTATTTATCTGAACACTGTAAAACAGAACTGACTTTTTTGTGAGTTATTCAAAACTGATCAGTGCTCTGTTTTGGTACTTTATGAAACCACACTGATTAAACTAGGTTTTAGATAAAGTGTTGGAATAACAACACATTTCCACATAATAAATATAATTTATTGAGTTTAACACATGACAGGGATGGAGTCCAGGCTCATTTCAAGATGGTGTCTGCATTTTCTGCAGGAAAAGAATGAGAAGAAAATTATGAAATTAACAAATGTGCTTTAATTTGTTATGGAAGCCCTGTATTACCTTCAGACAGTCTTTTGTAGATGCGTTCTCGCTCCTCTCTGGTCGCCCTTTCTGCCTCCTCGACCCTCCTCTCCTCTGCAGCAATTGGCTTCAGGTGATCTAAAAGAGAACAGGGTTGTAATAGAAACAAAACCACCACTGAACAATTCCTTTTTGATTTTATCTAATCTGAACCGAAACATTCGTTAGTCAAAAGCAGACTTTGTGGCACTTCTGGCTTTGTAACAAAAATGTGTATGTGTATGTCTGTGAGTTTTCAACAAGGCTGTGCTCCACAAATTCTTTTTTGGCTTATTTTTACGTAGAACTTTACAACAGTAGATTGTCCATTGTACTCTATCTTATTCTTCCTTTACTGTTTTAATAACCATCATGATGTCATCCTTGTCTGTGTCAGTGACTCTGTTCAAGGATATACTAGCTCCATAATATAGTTTCGAGGATTAGATATTGACATAAACACTTCCTTATAACTTACCAAACCTTTGTTTTCCATAAATGACGCCGACCAGCAGAGCAGACCATCTGGCGGTCTGAAATTACATAGTGAATGCATGTCATATCGTTATGTAGACGTTACGACTAGAAAGATTTCAAGCAATTTTGTTATTCATATTTTGACCTTACGGCTACAGTGTTTCAAACTGGTAATTACATTCTGATCAGAACGTTACACACGTCTCACTTAAGCATTTCCGTTTTCAATATCCGTCACGAATGCTGCATCGGTGTGATGTAGATGATGGTTTTTAATTAGACTACGTGATAGGCTCCCTTTCAATGTCAGGAAAACATTAGCCAAATGCTAACTCCGAGCTAACATTGACCACCAATAAGGAGAAATATGCACAAACTGTAATGTCACATGGGGTTTATAGTTTTAAATATTTTATGTATAAACAGTGCAACAATGGTTAAATAGGTTTCACAAATGTTTACCTTGATAAGCGGTGACACTGCAACGGGAGGAACCATCGTGAAACTACAGACCCTTCCGGTGTCCTGTCGGAAGTACTTTATTTACGTAGCTCTTTCGTCCGACCTACGGTGTTTGCTTTACGACAAACAGGTTTTAATTAAAGTTTTTTTATTTTAAATTTAATTCGTTTTTGCAAAATTACATGAAATTGTCACAAGAGGTCACCCGTCGAACACAGGTACGAAAATAAAACAGGTTAGCAGCAGAGGGATATATTCCATTAAGAGCCTTAAAATGAGCAGCAGAGGGATATATTCCATTAAGATTAAAATTAATTTATTTCCCTTTGTGTGCAACAGGAAACAGGATAATTAGGAAGGTTGCTTTATTAAATTTACAATATTTCGGACAGTAACATTGGTTACTCAACCATGAGCATTGGGAGAATTGGTTTGAATCCATATGAATCTGATGCCATTAACAGGAACGCCTGAGGAATTGCTTTAATCGTTTAGTTATACGTACTGACGTTCGTCAGTTAGGTTAAATCTAGCACTAAGTTTTAAAATGTTTGAATATTTTCTGTACAGTCCAGTAAGTATAGCACAGAACAAACTCCTTTACCTAGAAAAACAGATTCGTTTTTATGTAGTATATATATACAGATCAACAGAGACATATTTTATATGGGAGGTTGTTTAGGTCAAAATTACATCTCAAAAGTAATTTAATGTCACCTAAACAATTAATTAGGAATATAAAACCAGAATTTTTTTTCAAGACCATGCATCCAAGGACTATTACCTTAACACCCCCTCACTCATATTTTTGATATTATATAGTATATAGTTGAAATTGTTAATGAACTATTAATTAATTAACTATTCTCTTTAAATGCATCTTCTAATGAGTAGGCTGGGTAAGTGAACATGCATCCCATTCTAGTAGGACAATGTTTTTTCTATAATGTTTATGTGTCTCTGAGACCAAGAGTTTAGATGTATTTCAGATTTTGCTTGTGTCTACTGTGCAATCAGTGTGATCACCCTCACCTGTGTCTGTGTTCTTTAGTCTCACTGGTGTCACCTGGTGCCCTGGGCACATATACCTCTCTCCCTCGCTCTGTCTTTGTCGGGTCATTTAATGCTACAGGTTTATGTTGTTTCTATCTAGGTATTAATAGCCATGTTCATGAGAAACGTTATAAAAACTCATGCTGAGGCCCTGAACTTCGACACTGGCCGGTTAGCTCAGTTGGTTAGAGCGTGGTGCTAATAACGCCAAGGTCGCGGGTTCGATCCCCGTACGGGCCATTAAAGTTTTTTTTAATTTATTTTTAAATAAATGCTTTCTTCCAATTTCCAAGGCTGATCATTGCTGTCACAATGAACTTCCATCGCTGGCATAATCATTAAAAATATTACCTGAAACGATAAATGTAGAGTACAAATTTCAGCAAAAAAACAAAAACGTATTCGTTTCTTTGAACTGCCAACTTATATTTTCATAAAACATCTAGTGAATTCGGTAAGTTCACTTTGCAATAAAAATACAGGGTAGTTGTCCTTCTACTGAAAACTCATGTCATGGTTATATAGTCTACCACTAGATGTCACCGATTAACTAGTGCGATACTACGGGGAGAGAAACGAGAGAGAAAGTGTTAATCTGAAATAAATTCAGGATACGATTTTGATCTTTATTGTTGACATATTTATAATTGTTTTGCTACAAAGAATAGCATCGGAAATCGGTGTTGATATCGTATTTTTGTCTGAACCTGCATTGTCAGTGTTGTTCAATGGAGTGTAAACAGGGTTTGTTTATTCAAAGTAGTATGTATTATGTTTACATATTTCATCCAAAATAAATTATAAATAAAATATATTAAAAAAAGAACTTTGTTAAGTAAGTAGTAAGAAGTAACATGAAAGCGTTAAGCTTTTTTGGCCAATTCTTTAATATTATTAATTTTAATATTAGTAATAATAATATTATTGATATTATTGTTGTTGTTGATAATAACAATAAAACAAAACAAATGCAAAGGTTATTAAAGGCAATACTATGGATCATAAATATATACAATATCTGTGTTGAAAAGATTGCAGAATGTTCCTTAGTCGTTGTCATAGATGCAGTCTGAAAGAAAAGATAACACGTATTAAAGTAGACAGTGTTGAGAAGCTTGCATGAAATAAACATGGAAACTAAGACCTCACCATCTCCAATGTCATCGTAGATTTCCCCATCTCTGTAAGCACAATCAAAATGGTTAGCACAGTGGCTATATATACCGTGTATAAATGCCAATATGTTTATGGTCCTTACTCATGGACAATGTGGCTTGTGGAAACGTAACCAACTGTTATGGAGAGAAAATGTCAGACATTGTGAGTCAGTGTTGTTGTTCATAGATGACAATCTGTAGTGAAAAACTAACGACATTCTAAAATACTCACACTTTCCCTCCTCGTTACGACAGATCAACTTGTTGTCCACGGCACCGACAATGACGTCCAGTTTCTCCCCAGCTTTGACTGACAGCTCATTCCCACTCCATTTCTTATTGGTAAGTGTGGAGATGATGGTCACCTGGTACAATACTTTTATCTCACCGTCATACTGGAGGAAAATCAACATAATCTTCAGATTTCTATCATTTTACTTCTATTGCAATAGCGAGTTCTTTCTACTTACATGATGAGGATGCTGTCAGAAAAAGAAACAGAAAAATGAAAACAAACCTTAAATTTCTTTCTGAAATCTTTTTCCTCCTTTTCCAACTTTTTCTGTTTCTTCGGGTCCAATGATTCAGTTTTACTTTTGGCTTTTAGCCCTGAAAGGCTACAGAAGAAGCAAGTGACAAAAAAAAAAAAAAAAAAAGGTCACAAGCTTGGACAGTTCAGTTCAGGTGTAAGGCCAGTGTGTTAAATATGTTTTCAGCCTTCGTACCTGCTGATAGGCGGCAGTGGAGGTGCACTTTGAGAATCAACGTCATCGTATATCTCATCATCTTCAGCTCTGTCTGTGGTAATATGTGCAAAAAGTCGTTATTTTAAACCTCTTATCTGATGTGATAACATATTTAGAGGAAACACATTTGTAACACATTTTAACAAAAAAAAAGAAGAAACGTTGCTGCACATTTGACCAGATGATGAGTATCTTTTTTACTTTCTTGCTATACATCTGGAGGAAGCATAGTATAGTCTGATGTTTCTCTCGCTTGCTCTCTCTCTCTGCCCCTCTTTTTTTCCTCCCTCTGTCTCTCTCTCTCTCTCTGGCTGGAGATTATATTTTGCTTTACTATAAATATTCACATTAAAGCAGTGGTTTTAAATTACCTGTATTTCCCTTTGAAGAAAACCGTGCAGGTGGAGGCATTCTGGCACAACAGGAAAAAAACAAAAACAAAACATTACTTTAGTACTATAAAATGTTTAAAAGGTGAAGGCTAGAATTCAAAGCAGCCTTGAATTAGTCATGTTAATGTTGACACTGCTGATTTTGTTAAAACATGCTGTTGATGGGGTTATAAGACGATGTCTTGTTTGTTTCCTTTGATTACTGCCAACCAACCAAGTAGATTAGTAAAATCACAGGTATTGCGTGTTTTGTTATAAGTATCATCAACACTGATTGATTATTATACAGGTAATGCAGTTGTTAATCTGCTGGTAGCTGTAGACAGTGGATCAGGGATCTGTCTCACAACTTAATGAACAGTGTTTTACACTTTAACGCTGAAGGGACGAGCGTTCCGATCAAATATCCGCAGGAAGCTGTGGGGCTTCACGGAAGGCGACCTGCTGTTCAAAGGACTAGAATGTTAACGGAGAGTGAGACGAAAACATTTGGTTTTTCTATTTTTTTGCTTCATTCTTAAAAGTGTGTTTTTTTCCCACCCATTATGTTTCAAAAATGATAAAGAAAATCATGTCTTACTTGACTTCTAGGCTTAGATCGGCAACGTCGTCATAAATTTCTCCATCATTTTCTCCTGTTGTTGGGTTCAAAGCAACTTCAATAAATAAATGCATGCATTCTTTTACTGATAATGAACGACTGTATAATACACTACATACATTTAGATCATAATATTAAAACAAACATCTTTTGTAGACGTATTGTCATACCTCCTCCTCCTTTTGGTCCACTGTTGAGGAAGAGAAAAATGACAAATGAAAAGTTAAATATTTGTTTCTTAGTAATTAGACAAACTGTAAGTCACAAAGTTAACTCACTTTAACGACTGGCACCTCTTTAAAAACAACATTTAAATTTAATTTAAAAACATAAAGCGAAAACATATTTTAAATGATCAATATTTAATATGTCTCTGGTCTGATGACATATGTCCATGCAGCAGAGTTTCTTAACTTGATAAATGTAACGATTTTTTAATAAGAAAATGAGTTTGATACCTCTGCTTTACAGAAAAATAAAAGCAATGTTGACTGTTAAATATGTTGATTCATTTAAGATTGATTGAAGTACGTTTAAAGTTGGACTAAAACCAGGAATGTCTCTCAGGAAGTTCAAACTTGAATAATTTTGAATTTAACGCAAAATTATTCACGCTTTGCAAAAGGTTCAGCTGTAACTCTATCAGATTTTGTTTTTGAACAGGACAGGTTGTGACCTGTCAAGAAGCACAACCCCAAAAATCTATCAACTGAGAACAGGATGGAAATCCAAACTAAAGGTTGTGTTTTGTTCGTGAAACTTTTTGACTTCCCTTGGTATATACCTTAACAATTACCCTAATAACAGTGCAAAATCAGATTTCCCTGTGTACCACCAGAGGCAACCATATTTTAATACCTGTTATCAAAAGAAGGAAGATCAATGTCATCGTAGACTTCAGGTTCGTATTTCTGCTGAGCTTGACGGTGCTTCAGACTGTCAAAATCAATCTGCACTGAGGTGATTTTGACGTAGCCAACTGTTGGACAGCAAAAGGAAAGAGGAAAAAGAATCACAGTTCATTTAGAACACTGACTCTGAAATTGTTTACAAAGTCTGATCCAAATCAGTCAGAAAAGACTTTATGACCGAGGAATGGTTCAAATGAAGTTCAGGGCAAAGATCAAGTATTCTGTCCTGATGCTGCTCATATCATATCAGCCCAGTTTTGAATTGCACCATTATGGTTTTCAGTGATGCAGTGATGTACCATTCAGAATATCAGTGTTGGCCACATATGAATGCAGGTTATTTTCCCTATGTTTAGTAGTTCCATATCTTGTGCTTTATTCCAGGGAGTTTTTGGTCAACGTACTGCAAGAAAACGGGACATGAAGTACAGGGACGTAATTGTGTGAACGTACTTGAGCCGTCCTTCGCCCGTGCCAACCATTTGCCCTCTGGGTTGCCTTGAACACGAATGATGTCCAGCGAGTCTCCAAGCTTCAGACTGAGGTCAGTTTTACACCCTTTGGCGTCCACACATACCTTGCCCTGTTGGATGACCTCTATGGGGCAAACCAACTGAGACACAGCGAAGAGTAATGTCAGTACAGATGGAGCACTGGTTATTTACTTAGCATGATGTGGTGTTCATTGGCAGTGGACAGTTTCATGCTGTCAAAATGTCACATTAAATGTCATTATTGTTGCGGTACTTAACTGTCATTTCTATCATATACAGTAGAGCAGGGGTGCCCAATATGTAGATCGCAATATACCAGTAAATCACAAAGGAAGTACTGGTAGATCATGGTAGATCCAGATAAAATAAAATAAAACAATATATAATACTCATGGATCTAATCAGTACCCCCAAAATATAATGTATGCAAATAGTTCAGTAGGTACAGTAGATCACTTTAACCTGGTCACTTCAATAGTATCTAAGAAGTGTGGACACCCCTGCACTAGAGCTGAATAAAAAATTACAATGTACCTAATAATCAGCTAAGACTCTGAGACTAAAGAGTCTGATTCCACTCACCTTAAATCTCTTCTTGGCATCTTGTTCCTTCTTCTCCCGTTCCTTTTGATCTTTCTCAAGTCGTTTCTTTTCGTCTTTCATGTCCTTCTCCTTCTTCTTCTCTTGTTTTTGTTCTGCTGCATCCCTTTTTGTTTTAATTCATTATTTAAAAAAAGACAAGGAGGTTAAAGTGAAGCCCGCTTGGTTTGATTTAAAAAACAAAACAAGGCGCCATTGGACGATTAAACTTTGACGTGTTCATTTAGTAAAAGTACAAGTGCAGGTATTGAATATATATATATATATATATATATATATATATATATATATATTTAACTCTGTCAATTTGAATACAACTCAATGCCGGGTTTTAATTTTCTTACCATCGTTCCTCAAGATCTTCGTACATTTCTCCATCGTCCTCATCGTCAGTGTCCTCCTGTACAGAGAGAGACAGATGAGTGAGAGGAGCTTCTACTTTTTTCATCTGACTTTTCACCGTTTTTGAACACCTTAATTCCAAATGAAATGTATGCACAGACCGTACCTATATAAATAGATGTATATAAGCAGGTGTTGTACGGAATAGGTTGTGTAAACAAACCATAAAGCAACACTGGTGGGATGTACTTAATCTAAGTTGCTGCAAAAAAAAAAAACACCTGGGGCAAAATCTATTATTATTAATAGATTAGCTATTGTTAGACTTCTGTTTTTTAAAGGAAAGGAAAGTGAACTATTTGTCACTATGACACAGCACACCACTGCACACTACCAAATGTGACCTGTGCTTTTAACCCATCACCAAAGTGGACAGTGGGCAGCAGTGTGTGGGGACGGTGCCATGATCAGAGCTGGTGGACTCGAACCTGAAACCTTCCAGACCCAAGTCCGCTTCCTTAATCACTAAGAAACCGTATCAGTTGACATGAAGCCAGCTTGTGTCACAGGTCTGAAAAAGTCCACAGGGAGACTATGTAGGCAAATGAAGTCTTCATTTGTTGGATCTGGGCTACCATTCAAATGATTGTTTCTACTTTTGCACCGACTATCTGTATGTAGAATGGAGAATGAAAATGGATTTTAAAATGGTGGCGTTGCCTCACCTTAGCCCGCTGGCTGGGGTGACCTGTAGGGGACAAAAGTGATTTTTTTTAATATTACTACATTAATGTGTTAAGTACCACAACAATGTATTTACATTTAAAATAACTTCCTGGAGAACTATAACAAACATAACTTAAATAAGTTTTAAGTATTAATACACATAAGGAAACTATAACAAACATAACTTAAATAAGTATTAATACACATAAGGGGTGTAGTCGTCCATGTCTTCTCACCAAAGAATCCAGTACTGGATGTTCAGTACGAAAACATGCATGTAATATGATTTCAGCACACTTGTGTGTCTTGTATCTTCACTGCTTTTAGCATTATAATAATATATTATTAGTCCTTAATAGGTGAGTGCTTAGCAGAGACCAGCCTTGTGTAATTCAGGTCTGCTCCGGGAACACTGCAGTTCTCCAGTAGCAATAAGACAGGAAATTAATATGGAAAGAAAAATGCAAATTTGGCTGTCCCCCTGGTAATACCTTTAGTACTACTAACACGATAAGTCACTTGAAACTGCACCTTCTGAGTACCGAGGCACCCAAGTGTAAATCTACCTTGGTTTTGACCTACCATCTTTCATAGTAATGTTGCCATCTCCCATAATATAATTTAGATATATAATAAGTCTTGTCCCATCATTCTGATGAATGGCTTTGCAATTAATTTTGCACATGAACTAGTTGGCAAGCGCCACTATACATGGAAGACAGCTTGTTTGTTTTTGCCGGTTGAACACCATACAATGTTTGATTGTGCTATATTCTTTTTTTTTTTTTTTGTTTGTGTGTTTTTTGGAAACATTTTGCCCTTCATTGTTGCTCCTATGCATAAGTCAGACTCTTCTGATGTTTTTATGTCTTAGATTATAATGTCACCACTGTGTTACCATATGTGAATGACATAGGTACTTATGTACAGGATGTGGGTTCAAACCTGAGGTAGGTGGTAGAGGTGGACGACACCTGTTCAGTTCTTCAACATCATCGTAAAATTCCTCCTGCTGGATTCTGTAAGGCAAGTTCGAATATTAGACTCACAAGAACTGGCTGGAAAAATATGTATTTATGGGGTTTAATATATGGAGATTACATGGCGCCAGGATGTCCTGGTGGTAGACTGGGGAGGGGAGCCTGAGGAACTGGGGGAGGAGGTGTCACTTGGCTGCCATGGTTACTTGGGTTGGAGTTAAGAGTTAGAGTGGTGCTTTTCTTAATGATACCAGAGCCTGTGAGAAGAAATCCAATTAGAAATACTGCCTTTTTTAGATACAGTTACTTTTCTCTGCACTGAACTCAGAATAAAATTCTTCTTTTTGAAGGATCTTTTTTAGCCCATCGTCACTACAACGCCCTGCTCTGCTGTTGTTCTGCAGAATGAAACATCAAAAACCATCTTAACAACATTATTTAATTAACTTCTATCAGGAAGTTATTATTAAAAAAAACCCCAATCATTATTGACTATCACTCACATTCAGCTCATTCTTCTCAGGCGTGAGTGTCAAGCACGTTAAAACTTGGAACAATTACGTCAGCGTCACCCATGCAATGGTCAGAAATAACTACAAGTCAGGTGTGTGTCTTTACACACAGCCTGTCACTCAACACTATCCCTGTTTGGTAAAGTCACTTCCTCATATGGTGAAACAGGCTTTGTCAGAACAAGGAAGTTGCTGAGTGGAACTACTAAAATCAAGAGTGTTTCTCTGTCATCTTTCTGCCGCTTCGTTTATCTGTATCCATATCTTGCTCCTATTGCAAGTGCAATACATGCATACTGTGTATACATTTTTGCATTTTCACATTAAAAAAAAAAGGAAATCATACAGTGTATTCAATAACATGTCTGTCACATGATGCAATGTAAACTCAACAGCTGCTGTCTTCACATTTGTAATGTTTCTGAAACCACACTGTGGTTTGAAGGAAGTCCAAAAAAAAGTTACATCGAGGGCAACTGGACGGAGTAGTCTTCTTCAGTTCTGAGAACTGAGGAAGACTCTTGGACGAGAGGTAAAACGTCTTCAAGAAACCTACTCTGTCCAGTTGCCCTTGATGTAACTTCTGTTGGAGAAGATGACCTGGATGGACATTTTGGTGGAAGTCCTTCTTTGTCTTAAGTGATAATCTACTATTAATAGAGGAACAGGAAAACAGAGAGAACCAGTCACATGATCTGCTAACGGTTCACTCTTCACTTGATCATTTCTAAAGGGTGAGCTCCTGACTCAGTGTAGAGAAAAACTGGAAAGCATAGATGGTGTGTAAATGCCTGGTTATGTATTGATATATATATACGCTGCGTTGTAATGCCCGTCCTGCACTACACCACCTAGAGGCATGATAGAAACCACTCCCTTACGTGGATTAATGATTGGTTGAATTTTTAACATTGATTCACTAACTGACTAAATTGAGGGGTTCATGTTTTGTTAACCAACAAAAAATAGTTTAAGTCCAACTTACCATCATTCTGGGCCTCGGCACCTATTTTAAAGTTCTGTAGGTTGACATTGGGGGGTCTGTTAGGTTTAGCAGGAGCAGCGCCCAAAGCTAATATGTTGGGGAGGGGGTTGCGTTTGGGACCCGATGTGTCATCACCATTAATGCAGCTGTGATGAGGGTCTGCTAACCGCTTCTTTAGACTGGGTTTTTTACTGGCAGGAGGTTTTTCAGGAGGGATGGATTTGGTATTGGAGAGAGGTGTTTTTTTCACTCCATTATTGTCCGGTTGCTCCATGTTGTTGTCCTTGTTGAACAAGTTTTGAGCAGCTCTAAAGTTAGAAGTTGGTTTAGTGGTATTTGGCGCAGGCGATGGCTTATGAGCAGCAGCCACCTCAGGACTTGACAGTTCTTGGTTTTGCTGCCATAATTTTACAAAGCCGCTCGCTGGTTTTTGTTGTAGTGGGGGCGGTTTGGGCAGGGTAGTGGTTGAAGATGGAGCACCCCCACCATTGTCTTCTTTTATCCAGCTGGGCTTGGATGCCACTGCGAGTGAAGGTTTAGGAAAGGTGGGTTTGGAGTCCAACAGAGTGGTGCTGACGGGAGGTTTGTTTAAAGGAGGCTTTGGTGAGACTTTCGGTTCAGGGGGCTGGGTAGGGGGTAGTTTAAAATGTATGGGCTGTTTGTTATCAGCAGAACCTTTTGTGTTGGTGTCATCCTGTATGTTAGTAAACTTGCTTGCCAACATCTTGGTTTTGTTCAGCTCAGGTACTGCAGTGTCACTTTTTGTGGGTACTGCATTTTGCAGGAAAGCCGGTTTAGGAGGCCGATTCTCCAGGAGTGGTTTCTGGGGCGGTGTTTTCAAACCAGTGGAGTGTGTTGGTTTTAGGGGGGGTTTAATATGTGCAGCTGGTGGAGATGGTGCATCAACACTGGGCCCGTTCCCTTGAAATCGAGCCTTCATGGCTTTAACATCCATTTTGTTTTCCTGGCATAAAAAAAAAACATGTTAGACAAAAGGTAACTTCATCGTCTTAAACAGTCTGACCACAAATCACACTTAAGAAAAAGACAAAAACAGCAGTCAAGTTATACGTACATGAATTGACAACCAACCTAAAGGAACTGCAGGCAGTTTCACAAAGAAACAGTTACAAAACTTTGAAATCACCTTGGTTTCTGAGGTTTGCTTCTCCTTCAGAGGGGTTTATCCAATCAGAGAATTTCCTGCTTCCTCTTTTGTTACTTATTCAACTAATCTGTTTGTTTTTCCATTTTTCTTGAGGTCAGGGCACACGCACGCACACACAAAGAAATCTGACATTGTCTCACACGGAAGGACATGTAGGTTTTTCATTGACTACATATTTCGGCTTCATTAATCTGATACTTGTTGTTGTGGTTGCATTGCATTGTTAACTATTAATTGCTCATAAAATACAGCACATTCCTGTTGAAACAAAATTCCAGAGAGTGGAGTGACTGGAGACAGCTTGGCATAGCAACTATTTAATGGCCATATATCCTAGAGTATTGTCTGTTTTATAATCAACTGATTTATTTATCAACATAACATAAAATCTGGATTTAGTTTATAAAGTCCATAAACTTTAAAAAATAAATCTGCCTGGGTACTACTACTACAAAGAATACTTTGTCTTGCTGTATTTCCTTTACAAGTACGTATTTAAATCCCCCACCTGATGTCACATCAGAGTGCCCATGTATTGGTCATACCTGTTGAAATGAGTGAACTCTTACACCAGGAAGAGCTACGGGATCAGTGATAAGAGCACAATGACACACAGTCACAAGAGAAACTCTCCAACGGAGAGTATGACATGTTGTTTCACGGGTGGAACACTGATCTTAAGTTTTTGAATAAACGAGAATCTGAAAACCACATACCTCAAACTCAAGGCCCGTGGGCAGAACGTGGCCCATCCTATAATTTTTTGCGGCCCACCTAGAGCTTACTATGCCAATAATTGTTTTTGAAAGAAATGTTTTGGATAGATAAAACACAGCGTTCACATTCTGTGCAGTAAGAATTGACTGCTGATTATTTTTTAATCAAGCAACATTTGGACCCTAACGTATGTCACATAATATAGCAATTGAACATAAAATATAAACTAAGAAGCCAGAATATACAACACTAAAGCACCTAAATCTGCATCAATTTGTGTAAATGTTATTTTAATAGCTATGAATCATCATGTTCAGGTTCTCTGAATTAATAGTCTCTGTTACTTCATATATATATATATATAAATATATAGCATTCAGAGTCTAATATAACAAGAATTGTAACTGAAACATTATTACTGTTGTCGATTTCCCTGGCTGTGGTTTCTTCAAAGTTACTCAGTATGAGCTAAAGATGCAGTAACTACGTTTTAGTTGCATTTCTGTACCATTCTGTAACATGTCTTAACACATGCAGTTCCGCAGCACTGCATTGTGGACATTTTTTATAACGGTCAAATCGGCGTCACTATTAACAATGGCCGAAGTCTCACAGAATACAGGACAACAAACAACATGCACACAAACACTAATGTGCTGAAACACAGAGCAGTACATTTGGGATGGAACAACAGCCGGTGCTAACAGCAAAGAGGAACCATGATTTTTCCTGTAACTATAATAAAAAAGGCTCACCCAAAGTGGCGTTGCCTAATCGAGCTGACACAACAACAGAGAGCGAGAAAATACTGAACCAGTCAGTGACACCTTGAGTATTTTCAACTCGTGTGAAGAAATGTGTGAAAACAGTGTGAGTCAACCGAATTATCTCACACTAAGAAAAAGCCCAGGCAGCATTTGACTGAACGGGAGCCTCATTTCTGTTGAAGTCATTTTAAAGGAATCCACGCTTTTCAGTTTGAATGTCTGCTTTAAATGTATGTCCATTTAATAAAGCCTCGTCAGTTTTATGAAAGTTCTCAAGGCAGCTTCCTTTTTCTACTGCATTAAACATAGGAAGAAAAGCTTTACTTTGTAGCATTGTACTTACCATTCTGTTGATAATAGTCCCAGGGAGCTGTGTAATATCCTACTGATTCTTCCCTTCAGTGTCTCCGTGAGACAACTAAATGTGAGTTTTAGTTGAAGAGTCACACAGAGACAGAGACAGAGACAGAGACAGAGGCAGAGACAGGTAAAGAAAGAATGAGTAAATAAGTCAGTCCATTGGTGTTAATGTTGGGGGATGTTCTGTGTACTTCAGCTTTGTCGGTGACATCAGCATCTCTTTGCCGCTGACTACTTCCTCTACCAGTGTGTGACAAAGGGGGAGTGTGGCTCTCACTGCCACTGTTGTCAGTCTGATTTCATCTCATGGATTTGCCTACCTCTGTTTAGATCACTTTTTTTTGGACGCTCCTTCACATGTGAAGATCGCTCACTCACTCACTCACTCACTCACCTACTCAGTGTACTTTAATCTTGCCATTTTCTGCTGAAATCTACTGTAGTTAATACCACCTATACATTTTTTAAATTTTATTTTAACATAAACACGGCAACATTTTATCAGTGGGAATTTAAAATGCACTTTAAGTTGTGGGCCAAACAAGATAAACATTTACTGAACAGTCTATTGAATTTGACCAGTGTGTTTACTTATTCAGAAACAATGTATAAAATGTATAATGATTGTACTAACTATGTACCAAGTATAGACTCATTGAGAAAAACATATATTGTAAGATGACCATACGCATTATAAGCACTGGTGGGCCACCTAGAATGATCTTTGACATATTGTGTTTAAAAATGAAGGTGTTAAATATAAACCTGATCTAGTGTACTCGATTACACATCGTTTCCTTTCTCTGCAGTGCATCTGTGAAGCTGCATGTGCTGTGTTACGTGCTAAGGTTAGTCTTTGGTTACACATTATTTTTATTTTTCTGGTCATGATCTCAAGCCTCACATTTCATCCTCATGAACCTGCAGCTCATCTGCCACGGTCAGTTTTTTTTTTGCAGTAAAAATGTACTTTGTGTACAGGGAGAGTGGTGGCTTGATGGTTAAGGAGGTGATCCTCGGTCTGGAAGGTTGGAGGTTCGAGTCCACCGGCTGCCAAGTTAGCACCAAAGTGCATGGGTGATATGCAGAGATCACAACCACTGCGTCACAATGACAGGTAGTTCACTCTCCTAAATTGTACCCAATAGTAGTACTAATATTGGGCCATACCTATGCCTGATAATCCTCTGTCTTATTACTATTATTTGCATGTTCTGTATATAAAAAAGTACGTCTTTTGATCTGAATAACCACAGGGTAGCTATGGTATAATCACGATAACTTAAATAAATTAATATTAATCAACATCCAAGGTATGAAAACAAACCGGTACAGAAAGACAGAAAACAACAGGTAAATGTACTGTTTTTAATTGTGATTAATCCAAATGGTGGTATTATTAATATAAAAAAATGTCAGCAATATATCTAAAACAAAGAACTTGAAATTTAGCTTTATAGAGTTGGTTTACTTTAATCGTTCTGCATTGCATTTCAACACTCAGTCTAGACCCCCTCGCAGTCCACTCAGGTCCACCTTGAGTTCTTTAGACAAGTCGGGGTGGCTGTCTTCATGTGTTTCGCCAGGTTCTAAGTGCTTCCTTATTTGGTTTGAAAACTTCAAATCCGTTTGCACATCCGTTTTTATGGATTTATTACTGCTCTGCATTTATCAAAAAACTTCAAATCCGTTTGCACATCCGTTTTTATGGATTTATTACTGCTCGAATACTATCAACCTCGAATTCAAAGTATCTCCACACGCGACTCCTATTACCTGACTTATTGATGTGCCTGCACTTAGTGAAGTGATTTTTTTTTTTAAAGACATCTGCCGTTGTTCTTCAGCAGCGGACTCCTCATTGCTGACGTGTATACTGCTCTCATTAGTTCTGCCAAGACGCGATACTACCGGTACCGGAAAAAAGCAGATATCAATGTATTTTTTGCTGTTGGCATCGACATGGTATCAGTGGCATCGTCATAAATAATCTTATCATTTAGTTTGTTTTGACACTTTTTTCTAACTGTGCTGTACATATGGTGTTTGTTCTTTTGCCATCACTATACTAGTCCATTTAAAAAGTATAGCTCCAGGATGTTTTCCATGTTGTAACATATTTTATGCACATTGAAAACTTTACAGTGGCGTTAAAACTGGACCATAAATGTGTGGATACATCGAAAAGCACTTAAATGCCCAATAACTAGGATTAGAAACAGTGCGACTGTTTTATGCTAAGGAAACAAATTCAATTGTGACGCTAAAATAAACACAAAAGATTGGCTTGTGACATACACAAGGTTCGGCATGAGAAGTCCATTCTTTGACCCTGAGGTGTCTGCAGATGGAAGATCTTAAAGAGCAGATGTTTAACTTATGGTTGAAAACGTTCAATTTGGACAGATGTGATGCCAAACAGCTGAAGCTGCTCTGAGTTCCTTCGTTCTTCCTCTTCTTCCCCTGTTGCTGCAATCAGTTTAACACAAAACAAAGTCCTAAAATGACAACACAGATGCACATGTGTTGTACTGTCTTGAACAGAACCATTCAACTATCCCCTGCTTCTTTTCACAAATTTATTTTTTTGCAAACATTTCATACATTGAATCCTGTACATCCTGGAGATGGATCTTCTGAGGTTTATCAGTCTGTTACAGTCCATTCCTTACATCTCCGCTCTGTCTCCATCATAACCACCATAGTGTCCTGCCTCGCCGCCTCCTCTTCCTCTGTCCTCAGGACAGTGGATCCCCAGTCTCCTTTGCAACTTTTCTTCCTGCATGCGGAGCTCCATGGAGTCCACCAGGTCGTAAACGTTATCTAAGGACCACATGGGTGACGGGAACCAGGCCTTCACATCCCCATCTTTCCCCACGACCAACATGCTGAAGTAGTCCTTGCTGACCTTCAACTGTTCTCTCACATTGTTGACCTCATCCTGAGACAGAGGCTCAACCTCACTCTGGCTGTGTCCTGGGAAAAAAGGTGTTCCATGAGTTAAATGTAAATGTAAGACACTTGGATATAAAAGTGGGAAAAACAAAAACATAAAGAAATATAAAAAGAAAAACGAATATTATTATATTATCATGTGTTGCGTTTCCACGGAAACCCATGAACGCTGAAACTAGGATTGCCCAGGTTTTGTACAGCCAATACTAGCACATGTATTTCATTGTGTGCACTTGCCGATACTCATGAATATGCAGTCACATCAATGAGACTCACCATTCAGAGGAAATAATTCAACCGTTCCTGATGCTTTGTCTCCGATTCCAGTCAACTTCAACAGAGCAAAGTGTCGAATACCTGACGGAAATAAAGCGTCCAATGAGAAAAAAAACCGAATACCTGACGGAAATAAAGCGTCCAACGAGAAAAAAAACAAAACAAAAACAAATACTTAATAAAATGTAGCGCGATTGTATTTTTATTCCACCTGTTGGTACACTAAGGTCCTTTTTCCTACACAGTAGTACACATTCTTGATTATTTTTTAACTCGCATTTCCATCGTAGTTAGACACGACAAAGGATATCAGACCAGACAGAAGACGTGTACTGTTTGTGTACTGTTACTGACCCAAGTGACACTGCTGTCCGTTGAGAGCAGAGAGCTGCTGCTGGAAAGAGTAATCGTCTTCAGATGGTGCAGAAACCACTAACAGTCGCCTCGTAGACATGAACCTGCTCGTTTAAAAACAGATGGACTAGAGCATAAACGCTGTATATATGTGTAAGAGCAGACCCTTAGGTGAACTCATCAGATAAAGACCTAGAAGCTGTTGCCTCAGGGGGAGAAGATCATTCCGAGCAGTAATTTACCTGAGCAGGGGATTCCCTGCTTCAGCCTCTTTAGAGCAGACTGGAGGATTCTTTCTCTCCTCTTCTTTTTCTGGATGCCTTGAAGGGAAATTGTCTATGTACTCTAACAGGGCAGAGCTTGATGGTGGAGCTTCAAACACTCTCTGGTGGAATATAAGATAAACTTTCACTCTATTGTTAAGTTTAGAGGTGGCCAATAAGCAGATCGAGATCTACCATGAGATCGCTAAATAATCCTCAGGGAACAACATTTCTTACATTAGGCGTCATGTCATAGTCTGTGACAGTCATGGAAAAGAGATCTGGGGAGGACAGGCCCAGCTCCGCTCTTATAAGAGATGTGAGGCCCACATCAAAGGTCTCTGATTGGTCGGGCAGTGGAGGCTCACCTTCTAAAAAAGCACATGTATAAACAACATGAGCAGACTAAATTATCACAACAGTAACCATGGCATCAAAACACATGTCTCCTACCGAGCTGATGGTGTTGCAGTTTAATTGTACTTTCGCTGCCTTCCACCATGGTGACCACAGTGACCTTCCTGATAGCAAGGTCACAGTGATGTCTCTCGTTCTCTTCTTTCTGTTGAATGTAAAGTGTTCCCTCTGGACTGGGTGTTGACATGACCTAGAACAACAGGAGTTTTAGTGGGATCAAGGTGAAGGTAATGTGATCAGTGGATGAGGGAGGTGAAAAAGTTCTCACCATCAACCTTCTGGTTCCTTTAAAAGTCTCCAAAAAGTCCTTCAACGCTGCCTTGTCCTTCTCACTGGCCTCTCTGTTGGACTTTTTCCCTCTTCCTTTGCCTTTCTTTCCTTTTCTTCCTTTGCCCTTTTTCTTAGAGCCGTGTTTTTCTTGCGAGTCATCCTTTACATTTTGTGCCTTTTTATCTTTGCTGTTTTTCCCCCCATGTGTTTTCTTGCCTTCTTCCTCACTGGGGTCAGGGCTGTAAGAAAGCACCAAGAGATTACTTTGATGTTCACCAGCAGTAAAAGAAGCATTTCTGTCTGGGGTTAAGAAGGAGACGTGACACAGATGTCCGCTGAAAAAAACACAGGACTTGTTGAAAAAACAAAACAAAAAAAAACAAAAAAAAACGGACACACATATGAGGACAGCACCTGTGTTGCTTCACTTCTTTGCTCTTTTTGGACACTGTGGAAGGACTGGGTTCTTTCTGATTTCCCTGTGTATTGGAAGAGTCCTGGCCTCTGCTGCTCAAGTCCTTCTCTTTACTGGACCCCGCAGAAGACGGTTTACGGATAACAAACCTCGAAAGGCCATTCAGAATGTCCTGGATCTTACTCTTTAGGACAGCCTTTTTGTCCCTCGGAAGTTTTCTTGGCAAAGCCACCACAGATGTCACATTTCCTTGCCTTTGAGGACTCAGCACCATTTTCCTCTTCAGCTTCTTTCTTTTAACCACTACCTTCTTTTTCGGGACGGTACACCTAAATAAGAAGAGAAAAAACAGATATCCCAAAATGTCTTGCTCTTTTTGTTTCTTAATTTATATCAAGTTCACACAAACATCTCTATCACTTTGTGGTAAATTAAAACCTTTGGTTGCCTCCCTTTCTGGTCATCTTCTCCAGCTTCCTTACAGGGAACTGATCTATCAGCTCCAAAATGGCCTCAACGCGAACTGGGTATGGAAAACGCTCACTGACTCGTAGACTCTTTTTCAGGATCAGCATGGTGAACGCTTCCTCCTGCAAACACGTGTTTGGTGGTTTGAATCCCTTCAAACTCTTGTTGAACCTGTTCTACCAGGCATACATGTTTAAATATATAAATGTCAGAATAACTGCTAAATTTGAATGTTGATTACGATAGGACATGAGGTTGAGCTGGCTGACGTATGCCGAGAAAACACTGTCAACATTGCCAAACGACGTGAGGGTGGAGTTGAGATCAATCATAAAAAAGTGTTAGTTGCACCTCAGTTGAGATTCATTGAGATACAGAAGGAGGATCTGAACATGGATGGTGTAGCAATGGATAAGACAAGGTTTAGAGTAAGCAGTTAGCATCATTTTGATTTTTTTTCTTTGTTTTTAATACCTTAATCGTCCCACAAACATTTACAGTTTTAACTGCAGATTTGCTGCAAATACTTGCAGGCGCCAAGTATGTGGCTCCTCTGGGGCTCGAACCCAGGACCTACTGATGTGCAAGGCAAGCATAATAACCACCACATTATGGAACTAACGGATGCATCAAACAATTAAGGGATCAGTTTACCTGGTTAAGATCCAGGTAGTGCAGCAGTTTGGTGACTGTGTCTGAGTCAAGGTTCTCCACTGTGGCTTCTCCTTGGATGGTTGTTTTCTGTATCCGACCTTCCATCATAGCATTTTGGATGATGGTGATGATGAAGGTGTCTCTCTCTGCCAGTTGGCAGTTCAGCCCTTTCTGATAAGGCCAAGAACGAAGTAAGAGCAACAATAATAAGGATGGAGAATCAGGATGACTGTTTCTTTAGTCTAATTTTTAACAACATTGTACCTTCTCTGTGTCCTCCAGCTGTATCTCCATCATCTGTAGATAGTGATCATTGTTTGTCGGGGCTGTTATCACCCACAGTCGCTTTTTACCTGTAGGAGAGACGTTGAGTCTGCTTCTGTACATACTGTAGGTGGCAGTATGAACTAAACTACAATCAGAAGATAACTTCAATTACTCCTACCTGCAAATTCAGCCAGAAAATCCAACTCTGAACCGAAACTCGATGTCTCTTCGACTCTTCTGTTGTCTCTGTGATCTGGGTCTTCCTCCAACCCAAGTCCATGCTCCATTCCTGGAGGAAGATCTGAGTAGTCCCCCCAGTCTCTCACATTAGGATCCAGCTGTTCTTTGGGTTTGCTGTGGCCAATCTCCGGCCAGGCTGCGAGTAGAGTCTGGAGGCTGAAGCTCCACAAGGCAGCAAAGAACAGCAAATGTGAGCGTGATGTGTGGAAACGCCACATCTTTATGGTGAAGACTTTGTCGATCAGCTGGAACTGGTTTGCATGTCACAAGCCCTCTTTTGAAGAAACCAAAGTTGAGGTATACTATTATCACCTCTGCTGTTGCATTAAGAAAAATGAGGTGCTGTTTAATCGTGACTAAAGACAACAAAATGGCATATTAAAGACAAATTCTGAATCACACAGGAAAATCGACCATTCTGCCTCCTAAAAAAAATGGATCAACTCTGAATCCGATCCTAAAGAGAGAGTAAGAGGATTCCAAAGCACGGCTGGTGTTAACTTCTCTCAGCAGCAGTCAGTGAGTGACTGAGGAAACTCTACTGTGCCTGCACACAGGCTCACACTGCTGGTTCACATTACACACCAGGCTTGTTAACAGGAAACTCCTGGAATTTTCTGACATCAAAGCACAGTCTCACTCCGATCTCCCTCTTTCCCGATTCCTTACTTTCTTTTTCATATGCATGATTTTCATTTTTTAAAATCCTTAGCTGACTGTTTTGCTCTCTGACCAAAAATTCCACTTCCACATTTCTGACCTAAAACACAGAGAACCACATTCATCTGAGCATTGAGAGGTTTTATGGTTACACGTCTCTACCACAGTTTATCGACGTTTCTCTATGAATAAAGACAGTATTTCTGTAAGTGAGGTCGTTTAAAATGATTTCAAATATTTTTGGAATATTTCCCAAACATTGTAGATCCTGCCCTGTAGATTTCAATCCTGCTGGAAAATCTCACAGATTAATGTTTAACCTTGATTATTATTTTTTTAAATAAATTAGATTAAAAATTGGAACATTTTTTTTAATGCAATTACCAAATGATGCAAAGTGCATATCCATTATTTTTGTTGACCATTCACTTCATTGTTATTTAAATATGGATATATATATATGGATACCCATCTTAGGTCAGACCGGCCTTACCAAGTGGAGAGGCAATACGTCTACGAACGACAAACTGACTGATAGCAGTTATGCATAAGTGACAGGGGAGGATTTGTGCGAAACAAAAAATCTATTCAGTAGAGATTTGAAGCAATAGCTCTGCATATGTCAACTAGAAAGTGTGCGTTGCAGACAATGAATTACAGGCTGTGTTATTAAGACTGACACAGGAATGGGGAGATGCAGGCAGAAGGTAGTGTATGGGAAGTAAAAGTTTCCAAAACCATTTGTTCACTTTGTGCTTTCACTCAAAGGAAATTGTAGTGGCCATAAACAACACTGATAGGTTAACAGACAACACAGTCTGAAAAGGTTCACACCAGTTCAAAGTCTGTGTTAAATGTGACTGGTGACATATAGAGAAAAGTCAAATCACAAAGTCAGTTAAATGTGACTGGTGACATATAGAGACAAGTCAAATCAACACAATTTTGACAACAGTTTGTACAGATTCATGCATTAGTCAAGGTATTAAAAAACATATAGATATAGTAGAATAAGGTTTTGATGCTATCTAAATAGATACAATTACTTTTTCTATATACAACATTGCAAAAAGAGCAAAAAAGTACAGCCTTTAGGCTTCGGATTTACTGTCAGAGTGACAATCATATTCTTATAGTCAACAGTCTACATTATGCAGCAACAAAGAGGTGCAGTGACCTTAAAGTGACATTTGTGTTAGTTACACACATAGTTTTATAAGGGACAGAGGAAGGGGAACACATGGACAAGAATCACTGTAAAGAAAGTCAAAGTGCAGTCCAACTGCGTGCAATTCTACAGAGTGTCTTCATGGCTATGGCCTAGAATGAGAACCAGCCATAACAGCAAAGCATTCCACTCTGTGAGCCTGATAAAGAGAAACAGATGATCAGACACACGAGTGTGTGTTATACTTCTGGGATATGTTTGAGAAAGTACTATTGTT